GGAACAGTGGTTGGTCATTGTTAGGATGATGACTGCTCTGACAGGTTGGGTTCTGTGTGACTGTACTATGTGGAGCACCCCTGCTAGTGTTCAGTTATTATATAGTATGGTCAAGAAATAGACCTTAGTAGTTTTAAGCTCCTGAGATTTGAGGGTTGTTTATTGCAGCAATATGTGAACTGTATTGATTAGTAAAGATATTTTTGGTTGGGTTTTGAGAACGACAAAGTCATACATAGGATAGCAAGTGTGGACGTGTGTGTGTGTGTGTGTGTGTGTGGGAGGGAAGGATGGTTGGGGGAGAGGATGAGCTAGATTCCCCAAACCAAGGAGCTAGAAGCTTACCAAGAAGAGCCATTAGGAGTGTGAGCAAATCTAATGTCAGTCTTGGGGCATAAGGTGGAAAGAGGGGTTGAGATCTTCCTGCCTCCTTGTTCCATGCAGAGAACTGACAAACTAACACAAGCATATACATACAACGTGGAGTATGTTTGGTCTACTCTTTGTCATTGTGAAAACAGTAACTTAAAAATCAATGTAGAAAAGAAATATGGTGTATAGAAAACCAGGATTTAGGAAAAATAACAACGTTGGAGGGTTTAAGACTTTTTTTTAGTACCACAGAAAGTAATATGTCTCCCTATCCCCTCCTCATCATACATGTTTGCATTCACATGTTCTTACATGCTCATGTGTACATAATCACATATTTTAATCAACCCTACTTGTGAAAACAAGTCAGTACCTAAGGAGGCCTGTCTGTATACAATATCTAAAACCTTCCTCTTCTTTTCCTCTCACACTCCTGATCTAACTAGTTCTTCCCACCTCCATCCCTGCAGTACTTAGCATTTTCTTTATTTATTTAATATGTTTACTATTATTATTTTCCTCTATTCTTACTGGAATGCAAATGCTAACAGAGAAAGGACACTTTTATCCATCTTGTTGACCGACAACAGAGCCTGGTACATAACAGTGTTTGTTGAGCTGCATGCACCACCTTCGTGAAGGATAAATGGGAACATCCGGGATACGGATAGCTGCCAGGTGTTCCAAGCAGAGATTCAATCTGAGGCAACGCTGTGCTCTGACCACATTTTTAACCACAGTTTGAGCCCCTCACTCTCATTCTGTGTCTTATAAAAACAGTTCCAGTCAAGCAGATAAACTTCTTTGTGAAATCTTCCATATGCTGTGTGTAAAGACTGAATTTTGAAGGTAGTACAAAAAGTGGGGAGGAACATGGGCTTTAGAAACAAACCACTTCATTGTTACTTATTTGGTGTGACTTTGGGCAAGTTACCTAACCAAGGAGTTTTAAGTTTTCCTTTCTGTAAAACTGGAATAAAATGTACTAGGGCACCTATTGGGTGGACTTAATACACAGTATGTGAAAATGCTTAGCACAGAGTAGGTACTATTTTATACTGGTTCTCTTTTCTTTCCCCACCGCTCCATAAAAACAGCTTTCATTACATTTTTTCTTTAATATTATTTAAAATATTTTCAACTTGGCCCTAATTCTGATTCCAATTGACTTTTTTTTGTGTGTGTGTGTGAGATTATTTTAGTAATCTATGTACACAGAATTTCCCAAATATTTACAAAGAGCCCATACACAGCATTCACCAGGGTGTGGATTTCTTCAGACCTGATGGAAAAAGCAGATTATCTGGATTTTAAGTGCTGGGTAGAAATTCAGTGGGAAGAAGGGTAAAATTGCAGGATAAATGAATTGGAATTCTTTTGCTGTTGCTGTTGTTTCAGTCTTGTGCATCTGTTGTTTTTCATGGTAGCACGTGAAGTTCTACATTCAAGGTTACCATTTGCCTGACATTTTGAAATCTTGATTCCTTTTGGAAGCGGTTTCTTTATTTGCAAACTACTATTGTTTCTTAGTCTTAGAAGTTGATCTCTGTTGATCACCTAGTTCTTTTCCCCAATTTGTTTAGTTGAACTAGACATGAAGATTTTTATAGGCGATTTCAACTTATTTGACCATTTTCTAGTATTGATTTTTTTTTTTTTAAAGAGTGAGGAAGGGAGAGGGATAGAGAGATAGAAGCATTGATAAGAGAGAGAGAGAGAGAGAGAGAGAGAGAGGGATTGATTGATTGATTTACCGGCTATCGGCTGCCTCCTGAGAATCCAGCTTGCAGCCTTGTCATGTGCTTTAATGGGTAATTGAACCAGTGACCTCTTGGTTCCTGGTTTGATGTTCAACCATTGAACTACTCTGGCTGGACTTGACCTTTTTAAAAATTTTAAATACAGTTACAACAGTTTTCTTTAGCTTTTAAAAATAATTTCATTTGTGTATATTATAATGAATTTTTATTTGCTTCAGTACCATTATGTGCTTACAGCAGAGGTTGTCTACCTTGGATGTACACTGGAATCATTTGGAGAGCTTTGGAAATACCGATGCTTGGGCTCGACCTGCATCCGAGGTTTGGCCTTAGAACTAGATTTTTAAAAGCCCCTCAGCTCTGCAGCCAAGCTTAAGAAACCATTGGCCTAAAGGATTTCAGACATAACTGGAACATGCTTTCCACTTTAGAAAGTAGGTAGCCATGGCTTATCTGAGTGGTGTGATCAATCTGCCTTCTCAATCTCTTGCTTAGAATACAGTGAACTGATTAGAATGGGGATGGTAGAATCAAGTCCTTGACTTTGTTTTTTATTGTTAATCACCAAACCATAAATGGAATTAAAACATATGAATAGATAGAATAATTTTAAGGCTTTTAAATTCCTGTGTGAACAAGGAAGGAATAATACTTCTTGTTTTAAGCACTATGCAAATCAAAATCCTTTGGCTCATTATTTCAGTCAGAAATGAAAAAAATGTTTTTAGAGTCTATAACAAATACTACTTTATTGCTAGTATAATTAGGCAAACGTCGTTCTTAAACTCCTGTTGACTTTTTCACCTACTTTCAATGTAATAAGTAGTCTGTTACCATAAGAGGATCTTTGTTTACTCCAGTAACAAGATGTTGGACAAGGACTTGTAAAGTCACATAGCTCCCTCCCTGAGGTATCAGAGAGCTTCCAGAAATAAAACAATCTGAACTTTAGAGTATTCTTAGCTTTTATTCTGAAAAGTAATCCAGCCTACTTTCAGCTTGGAATTTGGAGCTGAGGTCAGGTTAGGGATATTTACTGTAATCTCACTGTTTGGTTTGAAGTATTGTGAAGTTCCAGAACATACCATATTTGTAGTATGTACAGCAACAGGGCTGCAAACTTCTTTGACATCTATGTGACCATATTAGTATGGTATCTGAATGCAGTGGGACTTAGTGAATTGGTGAATAGGATAATCAGAATTGTGTCCAAAGCCTAGGTTTTCTATTTATTAATTCTTACCTTGATTTATTTAACTTATTTAGCATTAGTTTCCATTGCTGGAAAATTTGAGGAAATAATACCTACATTATTGAGTGTATATTATAATGAAATGTTTTAGATTTTTAATATAGTACTTGCCCAAAGTTGGTCTGTAATAAGTAATCTTTCTGTAGTTTTGAGTTTGAATTATTCTAGAGAATTATTCTATAAAAGTGATACCTGAGAACAAATTAAGTTCTAAAATTTCTTTAATAATGAATCTTATGAATAATGATTATTTGGGTGATGTATATAAATCATACTTTATGTAGAAAATTTCTGAATTTTTAATAAACCTTGGAATCTCCTGATAAAGATTTTAATACATTTGTTTATCATGATATGTTTTATACATTTTCATTATGTTTAGAGACATTTTACAAGAACTCACGATTCTTACAATATGAAGGGAGAAATTGGAAGGTAGATAGATAGTATAGAGTAGGCAGTATAATATAGTAAGGTCATAAATACCTAGATGTCTATATACACAATGAAAATATAAGTGAAACTTAATATAGGTCATGTTAAAGTGTAGCCAAATCAAAAGACTCTTACCTAATAAAAGAGAAACATGTAAATTAACCATCACTCTACTACATACTCAGCCAATCAGAATGAGTATGCAAATTAACCCAACAAAGATATGTAGGCGAGGAGCAGCCTGCTACGAGGGGAAGCGGGGCAGAGGGAAATACTGGAGCCATGCTCAGCACAGAAGCAAGGATTTGCAAGTCCTGTGGACTTGCTGGCTCCTGGGTGGGCCAGGAGCGGGAACTTGCCAACTCCTGGGCCGCTGGGAGAGAAGCCAGGGGAAGAAAGGCCTATTTTTGCATGAATATCATGCAGTGGGCCTATAGTTCTTTAATAAAAAATGGTTATTTCATTCCTTTGTGTGCCTATAAGATGATCATAGTAACAACCGCTATTTTCTGCCTCTGAAAATTGCTCTTATTTTTAAAGTCATCATTGAAATGTTTTTATTTTATAGTCTGCTTGCTCTCTTCCCAATCACACACCCCTTAAAAAGGAACATGGGCTGCATTTTGTCAGCATGTGACCTCTGCCCGGCATTGTTTCATTGTAAACACAGTTAAGTTTATGGCGTTAGGTTGAAGGTTGTATGGGGTCCCACTGGCTTTGACATCAGAGAGATGTTAATTTCAACCTTCACTTGATCACTTTCTTTGTAAGGATTTCTCCTTGCTGTGCTACATTTTCTTGTCTGTAAGATAGACGGGGGTAAAAGCTTCTACCTCATAGTGCTGTTGAAAGATTCAGTAGTGTCAGTGGCCCAAGACAGTCAGTGTTCAGTAAATGGTAGTGAATATTGTTATTGTTGTCATTAGCTGTGTATGGCATGTTACTTATTGCATGTAAACATGATGTGTGACTTAAATAAAACCCTCGTCTCCAGACTGCACTTTTTAGGACAAGCAACCATCACCTGGCATTTTACATAAAGTTTAATAAATTAACAAATATGTGTTGATTGAGTCCATTAACTTTCACTTTTACTTGGATTTTCAAAATAGTATTGGTAGATACCACAAAATTTCATGAAAGTTGTTTTCTAAAATGGCTTTGTTTTTAAATCCCCACAGATATCTTTTTTTCCCCATTACTTCAGTGCCCTGAAATCAGAGTAATCCACCCAGATAATATGACAGGCACCTCCCGTGGTTTGGAGCCATATCTGTGATGAATGCAGGCCTTCCACAGGTCCTGAGAGCTTGGTACAGAGCACACACTGCTTGCTAGTTGGCGCGGCAATCATGCCATCTCTGCCTCAAGAAAAAGGTAAGCTGACTGACTTCATCACATCACAGAATACAGATTACAGGTCGTAACTGCTAGATATTCTTAACAATTAAAAATTGGGGATTCTTAAAGAACCAGAACTTAAAATTTGTGTTCTCTGGTATGGAATTCTTATTATTTCAATGATATTTGGTTGGTTTACATTTCTCTTAAAGTTATTCAGGGGCCTTCTGCGTTGGATCTGAGTACAGAGCTGCCTTTACAAAGCACACTGAAAAGGAGAGTCAGAAAGAAGAAAAAGAAGGGAACAATTACAGCCAATGTTGCTGGAACAAAGTTTGAGATTGGTAGGTCTTCTCAAAATCATGAGATTTTCATACCTGTTGGAAAGTCTAATTTGATGTTGAAAAAAATGTAGAAATTCATAATTATTCTTTTTTATATAATGTATTTTAAATGCCTTTTATAAAATTTTATTTTTAATGAGATATTTATCATGTTAATAATCAAATAGAGCATCAGTGTAAATGAAAACTTCAGTTATTAATGGAGTAATTTTGATTAAACTCAATGTTAAAATAAAGCATAAAATGATAAGAACATTAAACAAATTAAAATGTTAAATAGAAAATGAACAGTTTAAAATTTGAGATTTTTACCAAAACGAGAAGCTGTCATGTAGTAAAAACATTTTTCTCATTTTAAAATAAATCTTTTAATGATGCTGTTGCTTTTTATTAATAATGAAATTCTAGTCTTTATGTCTAAATACAATCTATAGTGTAGGTAGCAGACAAGAATTAATTCCTGAAATTAAGATACTTTTGCCCAGCACTGTAAAATTCATTTGAATAACAAGCACTCAAATAACATTTCTCTTTTCTTAGTTATTTTGCATTAAAAGAGTTGAGGAAAATCATATGAACCTCAAGGATATTAATTTTTTGTACCCTTTATTAATATTTGAGAATCTCATTTTCATTTACATTAATTCATCAAAGCTCAGCAGCAATCAGTGAAGTATTTCAGTGGGACTGAGTTCCCCCAACACTCTGTGCCAACAGGTGTTCCTTGGAGGGAACCATGCTGAGCATATTGGTGTGAGAGGACGAGATGTGACAGGGTCAGGGTTTATTGCAGCGTGTGTTTTTTTTTTTTCTGAAGGAAAAAACAAGAGCACAGTGGCCTTTGTAAAAGTGACTGATGGCCCGACTGGTGTGATTCAGTGGTTGAGCGTTGACCTCTGAAGCAGGACTTCGAGGTTCGATTCCGGGGTCAGGGCACATGCCCGAGTTGTGGGCTCGATCCCCATGGGGTGTGGAGGAGGAGGCAGCCGATTGATATTCTCTCTCATTGATGTTCCTCTCTCTCTATCTCCCTCTCTCTTCCTCTCTGAAATCAATAAAAAATATTTTTAAAAATTGATAGCTGGGTGGTGTTAACTCATCCTCTCACTTTGAAGTTCCCCGTAGGGTTCATAAGGAACCTTGATTTAAAGGAGAGTGTTTAAATGAAGTTCCCTCTCACTTTCCCAGGAAGTGCTCAGAGGGCTGACGGGGTATTAATGTTCTCTGTACTGATTCTGGCTACATTTCTCTCATCAAGGTCTTCCCAGTTATTTCTGAGAGGCTCACACAATGCGCCTCATGTCCTCATGTCCTCAGGAGCTGCCGGCCTGACCTCATTGTCTTCTGCCTGTGAGCCAGTTAAAGGGGTCTCCCAGGCTGTGTCACTATTGCCCGGTCCCTCCCTATGACCTGTAGGGGGCACAGCAGCTCCTGAGCCCCCAGGATGCCACAGCTGCCTGGTGGGCTGTGGCAGATGAGAGAGGAACAGCTCTTCCCCTGACTCTTTCTTACATTCACCTGCCCTTCAGAGAGGCTGTCATGCCAAACAGCATCTTCAGCTCACAATGCCCTCCTCGACCTCATCCACTGCCAGTCACTGTCCTCTTTTATGCCTGTGTTCTAGGCACTGTTGCATAAAAAGTTCTTTCTTTTTCCTCAGCTGCAAAACAAACAAGAGTCCCCAGGATTTGAGACCAACAAAAGTTTGCTCATCAGTATCATACTTGAGCCAAATAAATTCAGACAATTGATTGCTTTGTACCATTTCTCCTCATAGTGGATATCAGTAAAACTTTTAAAAATAAGTATTTTGCTTACCTCTATTATAGGCAAGAAGGAACTTGAAATTTATTGGAAGAAAAATGTCGATATGTTAATTATAATATCTAAATTAGAGAAGAGTCTTTAAATAGTTTGTACTAAAAAACAAGCTTTTCTCTGAGCACATTTTTTTTTCTCCTGGTAAAATTAGAGGGTTTGCAGATAGGAGAGAGCCAGTTTCTGAATCTGTGCAGTGAATTCTTCTTCCCTTCCCTTCCCTTCCCTTCCCTTCCCTTCCCTTCCCTTCCCTTCCCTTCCCTCCCCTCCCCTCCCCTCCCCTCCCCTCCCCTCCCCTCCCTCCCCTCCCCTTCCTTCCCTTCCCTTCCCTTCCTTTTTCTTTCCTTTCTTCTCTCTCTCTCTCTCTCTCTCTCTCTCTCTCTCTCTCTCTCTCTCCTCTCCTCTCTCTCTCTCTCTCTCTCTCTCTCTCTCTCTCTCTCTCTCTCTCTCTCTCTCTCTTTAATTTTGCATCCTGAGTCAACATGCTGACTTGGTTTTAATTGCTAAAAATAATTGGAACTAGGGAGGTGGAAAGTGTAGCTTAGGTCTAATGATCTAATGACCAGGGGCTATTTTTCCCTTTTCCCTTTTGTACCCAGCCCAAGGTCATGAAAAAGCCAGGAAAGTACATTTTGCTGATAGAGGTGTTGTCTCAGCTGTGCATATGCTCTCCTTGTGCTGTGAATAATCACTGCGCTCTTTCACAGTGTCCCTGTTAAATCTCTGAGGACTTTGGGTGCAACCTAAAAACAGTTCTCAGTTACCGCTGAGTATAATCTGGCCCTGGATGAATTGTTATAACTCAAAATAAGGTTATGCTCTAACTAATGGATATTTTGCCAACAAAATACTTTGAGCTAAAATGTGTACATATCAAAATATGTTTCCCCATTGGATATATTTCAGAAGGATTTTAAGTTTGGTTTCACTTAACCTTTGACTTGCAGTTCGTTTAGTAATAATAGATGAAATGGGATTTATGAAAGCTTCAGACGAGGATGAAACGAGTAACCTGATATGGTGTGACGCCGCGGTCCAGCAGGAGAAGATCGCAGAGCTGCAAAACTACCAGGTGGGGAGGGAGCCGTGGCCTCTCATTGGCCACTAGGAAAGCTACACACACTCCCTCATACTTTTCTTTAGATGAGGTTCTTGCTATGTTGACACTCTCACCTGAATAGCCTGTTTTGTTGCTGTGCAGTACTGACTTTGCATGGAGTCTGCATCCTTTCAGATATACTAACTTTTAACCTCTTTGCACCTTTAAGTAAGAATTGATAGAAGAAAACCTTTACTAAACTGGTGTTTTGCATTATGCTTAAAGAGGAGTCATGTGGAATAGGATGCCTAGAGAGACCACGGCCTGGCAATTCCATGTCCATTATATATCTGGCTTCATTCTTTAATTTTTTAGGATGCATTAAAAACATATTAAAAAAAGTCAAATGCATGGAATTTTGGACAATTCACATTTCATGCAGTTCTTCCATTAGAGGGTAAAAGAAAATAAGTCCATGTTCACTAGTTTTTCTGCAATGCTCATCTGTATGAATATTGTACATTTAGAATGTAAAAGATAATTTAGATAATTACCAGTTATTCAACACCAAAAATTGTAACTTTAATGTCATTATAAACACCCTTTTTGACTTCTTTAAAATTGTGCAATTTACATAATCAATTACTATAGATTCTTTAATTAATTATAGGACATTTAACTTAAATATTTTCAGTTTATTAAAACACAAAAAGTAAAAGATGGTGGTAACTGTATAATAGTATAAATGACTCTATTCATTAAATCAATGAGGATATTAATATTTACCTTTTTATTTTCCAGAGGATCAACCATTTTCCAGGAATGGGGGAGATCTGTAGGAAAGATTTCTTAGCAAGAAATATGACCAAGTAATCTTCATTTTCTTATAATAGAATAAATCTGTTATAAATTTACATTTTGAATATTAGAGTGCTATCTTTTACAAAGTTACATTCATTTGAAGTGATATTTTGATGGAAGAGAGACAATTTTAGATCTAGGAGGGTCTGAAAAGTTCTTGGGTTCTATTCCTGCACTTTGCTGAGGAGGTAACTGAGGGTCAGAGAAATATCTTGTACAAAGTCAACACAGAGTTGGTATCAGAGCTAGAGCAGAAACTTGGGTTTTAGAATCTCAGTGTTCTTTTTACTTTTTATTCAATATGTTCTTATTTATTTTCATTTAAACCTTGCAGGATCTAATCTGTTGCATTATTGTGTGTGTGCATCTGTATTCATATGCTGGTTAGTGAGCATCTAACATGTGCCAGGCACTGTAGTAGATGTGTGTGGGCACACACATACACATAGACCACATTTATACAGGGTGGGGCAAACATAAGTTTACAGTTGTAAGTTTGTGAAACACTGTTCATTCTTGCATTGTTATTTATTGTATTTTTCCATATGAACAATTGTAAACCTCAATTGTAAACCTACTTTTGCCCCACACTGTACATGCCCCCCCAGGAATATACATGCACGTACATTTATTTCCGAGGCCACTGTTTAGAGTAGGGGTGTCGATCTCAGAGAAGGGGCCAAAATCTAAAATCCAGCCTAAATCGCGGGCCGAATGGTTTACTGAACAGTCATAAACTGTCATTGTGATGGAAACGCAGCGGAGTGCAGTGATGACAGCGCGGTGCGGGCCACATTGCAAGGCCTGGCGGGACGGATTTGGCCCGCGGGCCTTGTGTTTGACACATGTGGTTTAGAGGAACAATCTACTTTTATGGGAAAAACAGTTCACAGGTACTCAAGTAGAATTATAGAATTTTTATGCAGTTTATAACTCTACTGAATAGATTATTTTAGTTTAAGAAACTTGACTGATAAATTGAGAAAATTTTTAAGAGAAATCTTTCACAGAGAAATGTTAGTAAGATTGTGTGTACAATTAATGAAATATCTGTATGTATCCAAGTGGAAGTTTAAACATCCATCCACTCAACATATATTTTTGAATGCTTATTTTTCCCCCTAGAGACCGCAAGCTGTGAGGTAAACTAGATAAATAAGGCCTTGTCCCTCCCTAGAACTCACATTTTAGTAAGGAGGAAGGCTGACACATACAGTACAGTTTTATGGTGCCGCATTAGAGGTAGAGTCAAAGGTTGGTGGTGACCACGATAGTGGGAGAGATTATTTTTGAGCGAAGAGGGAAGGCTTTCTGGAAGAATGAAATTGATATGGATATTGAAAAGTGTATAGGAATTAAAAATGTTTATCTTGAATATTCCAAGGATAGATGTGAAAGAATGTTATTCATAAATACTACATGGTTAATTTAAAAGTATTATATTGTTCTAATTAAAGTTTTAACTTGATCTGATTTTATATTATTATTAAAAATATAATAAATAGTCTGGCTGCTGTTGCTCAGTGGTTGAGCATCGACTCATGAACCATCAGGTCATGGTTCGATTCCCAGTGAGGGCCCATGCCCAGATTGTGAGCTTGACCTCCAGTGGGAGTGTATGTGTGTGCAGGAGGCAGTTGATCAGTGATTCTCTCTCGTTGATGTTTCTATCTCGTTCCTTTCCTTTCTCTGAAATCAATAAATAATGTACCAAGATAATTTAACTTGTTTGGCTTAATCTGGGCTTGACACATAGAGTTGGTAATTATATCCTTTGTCATAATAGAAACATAACTTTCTTACAGGGTTCTCTTGAAAGAACACTTGAAATATGGTTACTGTATGAACTTCCAGTTGTGGCGGTCAACTACAATAGATTGTAGATTTAGGTCCTACCTCTCTGCATACTACATTCTATGGTTTCATTTTAGTTTCTCCTAATTTTATTTGGGGATAATACCTGCTACATTATTTTCTCACCTATTAAAAGACTTGGTATACATTTATTAAAAAGACACTTTTTAAATAATCAGATTTTAATATATTTTAAAATATTTCTCTTAATTTATTTTTATTAAGAATCAATGTATACAAACTAGTTAACATTTGGGATTCATCAAAAATAAACATTTAGCCCTGTGTGATGTTTCACAATGGTTAGAGCATCAGCCTATGCACAGAAGGGTTGTGGGTTCGATTCCCAGACAAGGGCATGTATGTGGGTTGCAAGTTCAATCCAAGGCCCTGTTGGGGTGCATGCAGGAGGCAACCAATCAATGTGTTTCTCTCATATCAATGTTTCTCTCTCCCTACCTCCCTTCTTCTCTTCCTCCCACCTTCTCTAAAAAAATCAATGGAAAGAATATCCTTAGGTGAGAATTAAAAACAACAAAAAAGTAAATATTTGATACTGAGTATTATCTTTAAGGTATGTATCAAATAGGCAGCCTGATTTATAGCAAATACAAAAATACTAGGACATGCATTGTAGCCATAAAATCACATGTATAAACATGTATAGTTCACATAAACAAAACCTGTACTGACTAAAGGTTTTACATAGTTTTCTTATAAAAGAATTAAACTCCAAAAACACCAGAGTAATAGGCAATAAAAACTGCTTGCTATAGGTGACCCAGAGAACTCAAAATCATTTTTAAAGAAGCAATATAAGTGGCACCTGGCCATGAGCTATTTCCTGAGGAATAGTTAGTGACTTTTCCCATGTTATCCTGTTTTATATGCCTTTATTACCTCTATTACATTGCATATAATTAATATCCTATATGTAAATTTCTTAAAAAAAGCCATATTTATATCCTCAGTGCCTGGCACATAGTATGTACTCAAATATATGTTTGATTTACTAATAAGTAAATTAGTACATAGGACAGAGAACTGTGTCTATTTTTTTTTTTAAATTGATGTATCACAGTGTATAGAAGAGTGCCTAGCACTTAATAGATGCTTAATAGACATCTGCTGAATGAATCAATAAATAAATAGAAGGTTTTAAATCCTTGTAGTAAATGTCAGGATCACTGGAAGAAAATTTAGAAAAGTTTGAATAGATATTACTTTTTATACTATCTCTAACAGAATGATCAAGTGCCGGCCTCTGGATTATACCTTTATTCCTCGAACATGGATCTTCCCTGCTGAATATACTCAATTCCAGAACTACATGAAAGAATTGAAGAAAAAAAGAAAGCAGAAAACTTTTATAGTAAAGCCAGCTAATGGTGCAATGGGTCATGGGTAGGTATTTTTCACCTGTGAATTATATATATATCTATATATGTATATATAAAAGCCAAGTGATCAGAATGACTGGAAAGACCAGTTACTATGATGTGCACTGTGGCCAGCCAATCTCCTGCAGGCCCTCTGGTGGTCCCTCCCTGCATCTTGCCTTACCCCTGATCTTGCCTCCCTATCCCAATTGGGGACAGGGCCGGCTAGCCAACCTCTGGTCCCCTCCCCCCAGTTGACCAGACCCCACCCAGGCACAAATTCGTGCACTGGTCCTCTAGAGCAGTGTTTCCCAACCTTCTCTCATGATGAGAATCACCTGGTGGAGTTGTTAAAACACAGATTCCTGAATCCCAACTAAGAAGTGCTAAACTAGAATTTTTGGGAACATATAGGTAAAATTGTATACTTAACTAGTGCTCTAAGACAGATTTTATATACAGACACTAAGTTAGGTATGCAATTTTACCTATATGTTCTCAAAAATTCTAGTTTAGCACTTCTTAGTTGGGATTCAGGAATCTGTGTTTTAACAACTCCACCAGGTGATTCTCATCATGAGAGGTTGGGAAACACTGCTCTAGAGTGTGTGTGTGTGTGTGTGTGTGTGTGTGTGTGTGTGTGTGTGTAGTTGGAGGGTGGGAGAATAAATGTGACTATTCACTCATGGTTGAGTACTAATATGAAAAACAGGATAAAATAGGATTCTGATCATTGCTGTTTTTTAAACAAAATTTGCATTTATAATAATTTTATATAATCTTGGATACCACAGAGCTAAATTTACTTGGAGAGAAAAATGGGAAGGGAGTTACTCTTACATGTGTCTTCTTTGCTTTACAAATACATTTTTTTTTATTAAATTTATTGGGGTGACACCGATTAACAAAATTATACAGATCTTAGGTGCAAAATTCAACAACTTATTATCTGTACACTGTATTGTGTGTTCATCACTTCAGGCCAAGTCTCTGCCCATCACATTTATCCTCCCTATACCCTTTTCCATCTTCCCCAGCTCCCCTCTCCCATTCAGTCACCTCACTGTTGTCCATGTCCATGAGTTTTTTCTCTTTTATGTTCACTCCCTCCACCCTTTCAGCCTCCCAAAACCCCCTTCCCAGCTGACGGCCTGCTTTCTAGCTACGAGTCGGTCTCTGTTTTGCTCGTTTTTATGTATCCATGGTGATTGGATTGAGAATAAGTAGAATATATTAAGCTAAAGTACCAAATAGTAGACATGCTAGCTGAGAAAAGATTATATAATTTATATTTCTTTCCTTTTACTTTCTTATGTTAGTTTTCTTCAATGTACTTTTAAAAAAATGTAACTTAGTCTTTAATAAAAACTCATGAGTCATTTTGATCTTTTGTTTTAAATACTTTGGGGAAAAAAAGATTTTGGGAAATGTAGCTGTTCAACAAATTTCCCTTTAATTTTCAATAATAATTTAATCAGACATTTTTTTTAACTATGGTTTACTAGTTTAAAAAATAAACATGTAATATTAGTGGGAATTTTATGTTAATTGTTTAATGTAAAGTTGGTGCTGTATGTTAGTCTCAAAGTAAAAATTTTGGGGGTTTAATTGAAGTTCACATTTTTCTCAATTTTCTTATTAAAAATTATCCATATATATATATTTATTTATTTATACTCAGAGGTAAAACATTATACAGAAGTATTAATCTGATTTGACGACAGTATGAAAAATAGCTGAAAAAGCACACTGTGCTACTGGGTTTATCTCATGTAATGCAGCGAGTAGGTAAAGGACACCTCTGCCATCTGTGGAATATATCCATTTCCTTGCTGATCTTTTGTTTGATTGAGCTCTCCATTGTTGAAAGTGGGCTGTTGAAGACTCCAGTTCTTATTGTTGAACTACCTACATCTACTTTGAATTCTGTCAGTTTTTGCTTCATATATTTTAGAGCACTGTTGGTGGATACCTATATGTTTACTAGAGGCCTGGTGCATGAAATTTGTGCATGGGGAGGTTCCCCCCTCAGCCCTGCCTGCACCCTCTCCAATCCAGGACCGCTGGCTCCTAACTGCTCACCTACTTACCTGTCTGGTCGCCCCTAACTGCCCCCCACAGCAGCCTGGTCACCCCTTACTGCCCCCCTCCAGGCTTGGTTGCCCCCAATTGCCCCCCTGCCAGCCTTTGCCTGCCTGCCTGATTGCTCCTAATTGCCCCCTGCTGCCGGCCTGGTCACCACCAACTGCCCTCTCCCTGCTGGCCTGGTTACCCCTAACTGATCCCTTGCCGGCCTGGTTGCCCCACACAGTCTGCTGTTCAGTCATTTGTCCATCCATCACTAACCCTCCTGCCGGCTGGTTGCCCCTGCAGCCTGCTTGTTTAGTCATTTGGATGTTCCTCACTAAATCCCCTGCTGGCCTGGTAGTAGGCAGCCATATTGTGAGGGTGTGAGGGTCAATTTGCATATTATCTTTTTATTATATAGGATTTTCTAGTGTACCAATCTAATTTTCTTGTCATTTATTTAACTATATATATTTTTATTTTTTTTAGTGGTCACTCTGGGATTACAATTAATATCTCAATTTATAGCAGTCTTGTTTGGTTTAACATCATTTTACTTCCAAAAATTAAAAAACAACAACAAAACACAAAAAATCCTGATCCTTTATAGCTTTGCTCCCACTTATTGTCACAAAATACAACCTGTTCATTGTGTGTCCAATAACATAGATTTTACTAGTAATTACTGTTTTATGCAGTTATGTTTTAAATAATATAGGAACATTGAGGAGTTACAAACCTAAACTATACTATTACCCTATTTCCCCAAAAATAAGACAGTGTCTTATATTAATTTTTTTCTCCCAAAGTTGCGCTAGGTCTTATTTTCAGGGGATGTCTTATCTTTCCATGCGCTAGGTCTTATTTTCGGAGGGTGTCTTATTTTCGCGGAAACATGGGTAGTGACTTTTATATTTACCATGAATTGCCTTTAGTGGTGAACTTTATTTTTGTGTGTGTATTTGACTTACTATCTAGTGTCATTTTGTTTTGCCTGAAGGATTCTCTTTAGCATTTCTTGTAGGCCAGAGATGTACTAGCAAGAAACTCCCTCAGCTTTTGTTTATCTGGGAGCATATTTTGAATAGTTTTGCCAGCTATAGAATTCTTGGTTAAACATTCTTTTTTCTTTTTCTGTCAGCTCTTTGAATATGTCATTCCACTGTCTTTTGACCTCCATTGTTTCTGATGAGAAATCAACTCTTTATGTTATTGAGGATTTCTTGGACATGAAGAGTAGCTTCAACCTTGCTGCTTTCAAGACTCTCTGCCTTGGCTTTTGACAGTTTGATTATGTGTCTTAGTGTGGATCTCTTTGAGTTTGTCCTACTTAGAGTTCATTGATCTTCTTGGAATTAAATGTTCTCCATAATTACCTCCCTAAGTAGCTGCCTCAGCCTGGGGAGAGTTTCCAGTTAGGCAAGATAAAAGTAAGCCCTTTGAGGTCCTCCAGAGAGCCACTACACAGGTTAAAAAAAAGGCAACCATCAGAATTTGATCTATTCTGCTCCCTCTAGAATCAGAACCATTACTGGAAACATGCCTGTTGTTCAAGCCCCCCTGGTGAGCTGGGGGTAGAGAGTTGGTGCCAGATAAGTTAAAATGCCACAAAGCTGTTTTACTTAGATTCAGCTGAGAATTTTTTATTTTAATTTTATTTTAACTTATTTTTTGATTAAGTGATCCTCGGTTGTTACAAGCTTTTGGTTAGTTTCCAGAATTCCAGAAAAGTTGATTCTGACAACTTTCTTATTTCTATTGTTTTGCAATTCACTGCTTTTGTGAAGGCATAGACTTTGGAGTTACCCATTCCTCTGTATTCTTCTTGAGTATTAGCTATAATTTTATAAACATGTAGACTCCATATCAAATTGTTCTTTTGATTCTTTTTCTAAACTTAGGATTTCTTTGATAAGAAATGGTGACAAACTTCCATCTCAGGATCATTTGATTGTTCAAGAATACATTGACAAGCCTTTCCTAATGGAAGGCTACAAGTTTGATTTACGAATTTACATTCTGGTAACATCATGTGATCCACTGAAAGTATTTCTCTACCACGATGGACTTGTGCGAATGGGAACGGAGAAGTATATTCCACCTAATGAGTCCAATTTGGTAAGTGATACCAAACAGAATCTATGATTTGATTCATAGATTCAACGTGTACTTTTAAAAGAACCCATTATATCTAAAGGTTATATGAATGAAAGTTACTTGTCTTAGGTTCTTATAGTCTAGAACAGGGGTAGGGAACCTTTTTTCTGCCAAGGGCCAATTGGATATTTATAACATCATTCATAGGACATGCAAAATTATCAGCTTAAAAATTAGCCTGCTATATTTAGTCAAGCATTTAATTAACTTACCCCTAATGCCTTGGCAGGGCCAGACCAAATGATTTCACAAGACTTATGCGACCCATGGGCTGGACATTCCCCTGATCTAGAATAACTATTTTCAACTGAAGTGCCACAGAAAATTTTAAAACATTCAATACCTGACTAACTAGTCAGAGGCATTAACTTCTTTGCCCTTGATTATCAAATGAAAAAATGACAATAGGCAGCACAACAATAGCTTGTTCAGTTGTGAATAAATCAAAATTATATACTTTTTTGTCAGATTGGCAAGAAATGATATTTTTGTTGTGCTGCAGAAATTTAGTAATTAGTTTATATGTGCCATGAGATGAGAACGGTTGAAATTGCTGGTCTAGAATGATTGCATGTACAAACAAGATTACTTCCAATCTGTAGACAGCTTTGGGAAAAATCAAATATAAAACGGTATCCACTCCAGGAAGACTAACCCTGCAAGCACAGGCTTAGATTTCTAAGCACATGTGTGTATGCAGTAGCCCTGGATAGAAATGATTTTTCTATAACTATAAATAAAAAAATAAGATGCCCCTAGGAAGTGTAGATAAAATGTTTATGTAGGTGAGTACAAAATGGCTAGCTTGTATTTAGTTCCTCAAGGAGGGTGCTGTACTTGAACAGTGTTTATACTGTTATATAAGAGTTACAGTTTAAACATATAGAATGTGGGAGAAAGTACGTGAAACAGAGGAAGCAAAAGATATCAGAAAGTAGAGTTACTTATTTTTGCTGGAATAAAGAGAAGATTGTAAATTTACACTGAGTAAATGTGAAATAGAGACATAAATGGTCTGTTTCAGTGTGATTTTCAAGTCTATTAAACTGAAATGTAATATATTTTTTCATAAAGTAATAAACTATAACTGATAGTTTATATAAAACAAACTTTTATTTCTTGTATTTGTTGATTTATTAACTAAAAGTAAAAGTTTAGTTAACTTCCAATCATTTTTTTAGAATTGTTTTAGAATTGTTTCCCCTTTTGTCAAAGGCCTGGTTATTGTTTTCTTCCACTATTATGCACATAATTAACTCTGTTAAGAATGGTCATATTTTGCCCTTGCTATGGTTCAATCCCTGGTCATTACACATACAAGAATCAAACAATGAATGCATAAATAAGGGGAACAAAAAATATCTCTCTCTCTCTCTCTCTCTCTCTCTCTCTCTCTCTCTCTCTCTCTCTGTCTCTCTCTCTCTGTCTCTCTCTCTCTTTCTTCTCTCTCCTCTCTCTTTTCTCTCTCTCTCCTCTTCCTTCTCCTCCTCCCTTTATCCCCCCCTCCCTCTCCTTTCCTCTCTCTCTAAAAAAAGAAAAAAATTAGTGAAAAAAAATGGTTATATTTTCAAAATTCAATAATAAGGGCTGATCATAAATGTTAGTATGTTTAATGAATCAAAAAAATTTGTAAACCTGGCAGAGGAAGAAAAGGGGATCTGGTAGTAGGGGCTCCTTAAATATTGTATAGTAAATGAAAAAAATAAATTCTTAATTAGTGGTGGGCACATATAATTCAAATGAGGAGTTCTGCATATTTGCTTCAAAGATTTTACTAATAAGATTGTAGACCTAAGTAACAGCAGTGAAAAATGTGACATGGATATACTTAGTTATTAACAAGCCAAAATACTAATCATGTTCATGAAGCATATATTCATTGTGATGCAACAGTGCTACTTGAAGTCACCTGTGGGAGATGGATCATGAGAGTAGGATTTATAGACTCAAATGTTCATGGGAGATCAGTAAGGAGCCATTCTTTTTCAGGTTTATTTGAGAAAAACACTGTCAGCCAACATAAGGATCTAAAGAGACAAAGACAAAACAGTTCCAATATGGAGCACCGTAAATGTGCTGTTGATCATTCAGACACTACAGCACTGCGTGGGGAACAGCATTGTCTGCTAAAAGCACTCACTCTGCCTTGTTAAAGAGTTACAGTGGCCTCCCTATCAGGATGGGGGCAGAGGCTGTGTTTGCTAGTCTTGTCTCTTGGTTGATGCTACTTACTTGAGCTTTCATTTTTAAATTTTTCTTTGTTAAGACAGAAAGAGCATTTTTCTTGCTTGGCAATGCATAATTTCATATTTTCATTTAATTACTCTGTAGATTCTTGTTATTTTAATGCTCTCTGTGGCAGACATAGATTACAAAATCATGTTAAGGGAAATGTGCCATTCCATTTAATTTGGAAATTATCAAAGTAATCATGAAATTGTCAATCTGTATATTTTAAACTTTAAAATTATCTTTCATCTTTGGATACTTTTATTTTTGTGAAATCTCACGGTTCTAGAGTCTCATAGGTGATACCTTTGGTTCTTACTTGTTACAGACCCAGTTATACATGCACCTGACAAACTACTCTGTGAACAAACACAATGAGCGTTTTGAAAGGGATGAGACAGAAAACAAGGGCAGCAAACGCTCCATCAAATGGTTTACAGAATTCCTGCAAGCAAATCAACATGATGTTGCCAAGTTTTGGAGTGACATTTCAGTAAGAGTATACTATTCCACAATTATGACTGTCTTTCCTCAGATTAAATTAAAGGATCGCCAAGCATTTTAAATAAAGAACAGATTGTATTAGATTGGGCAGATAAGGTATGTTTTCATGAAGGAAGTAGAATTTGGGATGGACCTGGATAGATAAGTAGTATTTTCACTGCTAGGGATGGGAGAGGGAATTCTAGGTGGAGGTGAAAACATAAGTAAAAGCGTGGAGAGGTGTGAGAGTACTGGTAAGTGGTGCAGGTTGGTACATTTGGTATTTGTGGGAGAGGCATGAAGGGTTATGGCTGAAAAGATAATGTAGAAGCTAAATTTCAGGTCTGATAATCAAGGCTTAACGTCCAGTTTTTAAGGGAGGAGAATAATAAGGTCAAGCACTATGAACTAAAAGGTAAATCTGAAAAAGGGTGTGGGATGGATTGTTAGAGTGAAGACCAAGAGTAGGTAAAAGAGCCCTTGGGAGTACGTTTAGTGAAAAGAACGGCCTAAATTGAACACAATAAAGGGGTGGCAATGAGGTAAATGTTGGGATTAATTGAATGTTCAGAATGGGAGAGAAGTACTCAGAGGGAGAATGAGGTTGGCATTATCTGACATAGAATAGGAAGGAATTTATTTTTGAAAAGATTTAGAACTTAGTTTTGCAGATGAGGGAAAAATAGTTTTACTTATTTATTTCTTTATTCATTCCTTTATCCAGTAAACATTTATTGAACTCATAGTATAAGCCTATCTCTGGCTGATAAATTGAAGGTTTATAAGTTACTCCTCCAGTTCTTGAAAAACTTAAGAGTTTGGCAGGAAAAATCAGCACAAAAATTGTTATTAAAATGCAGTGTAGCAAGCACAACAGCAGAGGCAGCAGTGGATTCTGTGGGAGGCAGAGGAAACCACATACCGTAGCTTTGGGTGGGTGGTGAGAGAGGAGGACTTCTTGGAGGCATTGACTTCCGAACTAAGTTTTTAAAAGTCCGTGAGGCTATGATGATGGATTTTACTTTAGATGTGTTAAACCTAAAATGCTGTCTCCAGGCAGAAAGATCAGAAATGTGTTTGTGGTGCAATTGATATGTAACGCCATGGCAGTGGATGAAATTCCAAAAAGTAAAGGTAATGAGAAAAAAAGATATTAGAAAGTAACTTTGGTGAAACAGACCCTTTATTAATCCTAGCAGAAGTATTAAAATGGTATTCCAAGTTAGAAGACTGTATCTATTGAAAATAATGTGATTAGGGCTATAGAATTTGATTTGTCTTTGGGGACAAATAATATATATAATAAAAGCCTAAGCGACTGTTATGGTGGAATGACCAGAACAAAAAAATGTTCTAATGATAGATTTATTACCAGTGTGGATCAGAAGAATCAGACTTGAGAAGTTTATTTTGGGGCAGTAGCTCTTTGATGGAAGATCATACATTATATTAACTGGATGATTTAATGAGTGGGCTATTTGATGATTAGCATAGTGAGACCAAGGAAACTTTATATCCCCTCTGATATTCTTTTTTCTTTACCAAATATTTCATGTCCAAATGGGAATATCTTTGTGAAAAGGTGGCACCTGTTGGGCTGCCTTGGTGAAGTATGTATAGAGAGAATCAATCAGAGAAAAGTGAGTATCATGAGCTTGTAAGTGGTACTTTTCCCTCATGATTAAATTTGGAGAAGGTATAGAAGGCTAATATTATTAGTAGGTTAGGCAATTGACTTTTCTGTGAAAGCCTATAGTATAGCTTTCAGATATGATGTACACATGACCAATGTGAGTCTATTATTTACTTAACACTTAATAAATTATTAACTTTTCCAAGTACATTTCTTACATTTATCTTGTCAGATCGTCTGCATTTATTTAGTTATTTAAAATTTTGTCTTTATTCAGAATTACATGTACTTTATATAGATCTCTTTGTTTAAGGTGTCAACAAAATACTATTTTATAAAAAGAATGTTAGGAGGAGGTGGAAAAGGCAGAATGTAGTAGATTTTTTATCTTTATGTTATAGTTTATAAATTTTATGAATTTAACTTAAGGCTTTTAAAAAATTACCTCTCTTTTGGGGGTAATAAAAGTAACTGCCTGTATCTAAAAACTAGCAATACCTTCTATGAAGCAAAGAAATGTGTTTTTGTGCCACTTAATAATGAGTAGAAAATCAACAGAAAATCAGATTAAAAATGATTGTAATCATTCATAAAACCATCTTTACTGAACGCCGCCTTTTTGTATATTTTGTGTAAAGTCTACAAATCATATTTCAAAGCAATGACACAGGAAAGAATTGGTGAAATTTGATTTGTGCTTGGTTATATCACTCCTGATTTCACATATACCTGCAAGCTTGCCTTTATGTTTCTAAAAATGTGTTTTTGTTTTTTTTTTATATTGAAAAAAGGAGAGATTGGTAAGAAGGTCTATTAATTCTCCCCACTGTCTTGTTCTACCAGACACTTAATAGCCAAGGTTTTAGCTTTTTTTTTTTTTTTTTACCCTCCAGTAGTTTTAGTAATATCTCCAAAGATTTATATGGAGTGCTTTTTGTCTTTTATCTTTAAATTCTTTGGCGTTACCTTTAATTTGTTATTTTGAATACAATTTTCTGAAAACAACCTCATGGTATCTCTGACTCTTACTTCCAGATAGCAGCTGGGTTGAGATTCTGGGTATCAGTGAGATTAATTTCTGTCTTCCATTTTCTTCTCCCATATCATTAAATATTGTGCCCAGCAGGTAGTGGGATTTTGTGTCTGACCTGACGTTATGGACTTCTAGTGGAATAATAGAATAACTGTAACAGTAGTTTTAGTTAAGCTGCTAACACTTAGTTCAGGTTAATGTGCTTTGGTCGCTACACCATGAGTTTCACCTGGAGTCTCACTTTGTCCTTTCGTCAGTCTTCTGCAGCAGGTACAATATTATTGCTATTGCTAGTTTACATTTGGCAACAGTACCTGTGGAGAGCCAGTTCCAAAGACAATATAGTCTAAGCAAAAACCAGCGGGACAGCTTTTCAACAATTCATAGCTTGTTCTCCAACTTCAGTTCAACAACTTTTTGCTCTATTGGCATCAATAACTCAGCCCCATCATATTCTGTGTCCTCACAGCAATGATGACAGCCAGCTCACTCACTGGCAGTATTGCATCACTGCACAAAGAAACCCAGCTCTCCGGGATTCTCTCCTCGCTCTTTCCAGCCGATGTCCAAGTGGATGGCCTGTCATGTCGTTTGTGAAATAGTTTACTCATTTGTTCACAAACGTTTTTGAGCATCTATTAAATGTGAGGTACTATGGTAGGCACTGCAATGGGGCTGTAAACCAGACACACAAGGACCCTGCTCTAACAAAACAAGGGAACCATCGGCTGGTTCTGTGCTGCAAAGTTATGCAGGAAGGGATGTTGGGTGGCAGTTCTGATTCCAGGTCAGAGAAAGCTGCTCTGAATATCAAGGATCTAGACATAGGCATAGGGGGAGAAGAATGTCCCAAGCAGAGGGAACAGTTACTGGGATGATCTCAAAGGAGACAAGTGTGGCGGGAGCTTAGCAGGACCAGGAAGAGTTGGATGGAGGGAAGTCAGGGCAATGGAGGGGCTAGATGCCCCAGGGCTAGTTTGTAAGTCCAGACCTTAGCAGTGGTTCTCAATCTTTCTAATGCCGCGACGCTTTAATACAGTTCCTCATGTGGTGGTGACCCTCAACCATAAAATTATTTTTGTTGCTACTTCATAACTGTAATTTTGCTACTCTTATGAATCATAATGTAAATATCTGTGTTTTCTGATGGTCTTAGGCTCTACAGCAGCTGTTCTCTACCTATGGGTTGTAACCCACAGGTTGAGAACCGCTAGCAGAGTCGCCTTTGACCATCAGAAAACACAGATATTTACATTATGATTCATTAATAGTAGCAAAATTACAGTGATGAAGTAGCAACAAAAATAATTTTATGCTTGGGGGTCACCACCACATGAGGAACTGTATTAAAGGGTCACAGCATTAGAAAGGTTGAGAACCATTGCCACATGTGTAAATGAGGAAGAAATAAGGCATTTTCACCTTTTAAAAATCTGTGCTTGTAGGAATTGGTTGTTAAGACTCTCATTGTGGCAGAGCCTCATGTCCTGCATGCTTACCGGATGTGCAGACCTGGGCAGCCTCCGGGGAGTGAAAGTGTCTGCTTTGAAGTCCTGGGATTTGACATTTTGTTGGACCGAAAGCTAAAGCCGTGGCTTCTGGAGGTAAGGCACTTTTAAGAAGAGATGTTATCTCTGTGTATTAAACCATATGTTTTTAAATGTGTACTTGGCAGTGTTGTCTCATTGAGCAGAAAGAGGCCCGAATGGAGTGTGTGGGAGGAAAGAGAATGAAAATTCATGGAACAGAACAGTTCTAAGAAAGGATCAATATGTGTTTGATATTACTTTTCCCAAATTAGTATTGAACTTGTAGGCCAGAAATTTTGAATATATGTGTGGATCTACTTTTACTGATTTTTTAAATCTACTTCCTCCAATATTTTCTCAGCCTCAGGGCTTCGCCACTTCATGACATGTGGGTGCTGTCTTTCCTCTCTCTGTGTGGGCGCCTGGGCCTCGGGACCACAGCCTCTCTGTCCGCAGTGTGTCTCCCCTTATGCACTCCAAGAGAGATGCTCCAGTGGGTTCATTAATCCTGACCCCCGGGTGGCTTGAATGTTCCTTTCTGGCCATGTCTCGTACCTGGGGTTCCCTCATGTCCAGTCCGTCAGCTGTGTGCCTTTGGGCTTTCTGCAAGTCCCTGCTATGGGCAGAGTTGTCATTCCTTTTATTTATAAAAGGTCACTCAACATCTGGAAAACAGAATACTATAATATACAGGAAAAAATAAAAGTGATCTCTTTTAAAGATTTTTTTATACCTTTTCTTCCAGTCTTAATTTATAATATATTCAGAAGAAACCTTAGGTTGCAGAGTGTATGGTCACAAAGTACCACATGTAGGAAACTTTATCAGGAAAATAGCACGTTTCTAAACACTTAATGCTTACAAGATTAGTTATATTTTTGAGGGATATATTCTGGTAAAATATATCAGCAGCAATTACCTTTCAGTTTAAGTTTGATTATCTCTCTCTTTTTTGTTAATGCTTTAGAAGTTTGCAGTTACATCTTTAATATCAAGGCTTGCAAAAGAAAATTGAATGGGTGATAGATGAGATAAAAACATTCAAAATAGTATTCTTAGGGAAGAATGCTTTTCTAATTTGGGGGCCAGTGGTTTCCTGTGTGTACTGAATGCACTATGAGCAAATAATATGTGTATTTCCAATCACAGTTTTGCTCCTGCTCAGGTCCTAGAAATAAGATGAATATGAGGAAGGTTGCTTATCCTTTAGCTCCCTCCATTGGATATCAAAGCACATGACTGCACCACGTCTAGTGTACCGAGGCCTGACACTGTCCTAGGGTTATTGTTTTGTCAGCTGTATTTTTTTTTATCCCTGCTGCTTGTCTTCTATCCTTATGGGTGGGGAAGAAGGGAAGGCACATGCAGGAGTTACAACTGCAAGGAGAGCAGGGATGAATGACTTTATAGACATTTACAGTTTTTAAAAGCAGTGGCCTGATTGGAACTTAGCTGGGCAAACCAGAATTGATTGAATGGTAGAATTCCGTTTTTGTTTTTTGTTTTTAAGGCTCAAAATATCATTGTTTGCATTAATGTTTCTTCTACTTTATTCTTTCCTTCATTTTCACATCAATAAGAACCATTACAACATTCCACAATAACCAACGGCTAAATGCCATTGTTTGCATTAACATGTTTTCATTTTCTATTCATTTTTTTTCATAATTTCTGGATTAATCAGAACCATTAAAAAACTCCAAAGCAAAACAAAACTAACAGCTGTGGAGAATGAACATTTAATTATATTAAAATAATGAAAAGAACCTTATGTAGATTTTGTTTGTTTGTATTTTCCTCTGTAATGATAGTGGTTCTAATATGTAGTTAAAAACCTTTTGGCACCATCCAGTGGAGCAAAGAAGAAGGTGCTTCTGAGAATGTGATACGGTAACTTTTAGTTCACTGGAATAATTGCCAGTAATGATTTGTAGAGGCAAACTGCAGAAATTTTCAAGCTTAGAAAACATTTTTAGGGAAAAAAATTGAATTTGGGTGGATATGAATACTCATATTTTAAATATCCTTGAATTAATTTCTTTTAAAAATATTTTAAATTGATTTTAAAGAAGAAGGGAGAGGGAGAGAGAGAGATAGAAACATCAATGTTTTCAGCTGCCTCTTGCATGCCCCACCGTGGGCATTGAACCTGCAACCCAGGCATGTGCCCTGGTGGGAATTAAACCAGGTCTTCCTGGTTTATAGGTCAATGCTCAACCTCTGAGTTATGCCAGCAGGGCCTTGAATTAATTTTAATAAGTCATTTTGCCAGGTGGTAGAGATACCAGAAGAATAAGACAAAACATATGTGGGGACTCAGATATGTATTTTATGGTAATGGTTGTAGGTATAAGTGGAAGCAGGGTTCCAGAACAAACAATAAACTGATTAACCTCTCTGTGTTCATGTGTGTATTGAGAGTTAAAACAATCTTTGCAAAAGAGAGAACACCTGAACAGGGTATTTAGAAGGTGGGATAGGGGTTGGGGTTTGGAGAAATGGGGGTGGTGTGGGGAGAAGCACTAATTTAGGAGCACAGAACCTATTCTGGATATTTTTATATGTGCATGAAACGATTGTGCTTGTTTTGTTAATATAAGTATGATTTGGATAGCTAACAAATGATACTAATTTAATTTGCTTTCTAATAATTTTTATTTTTGCATCTTTTTTACAAATTGCTGAATTTTAAGACTATGCCATTGGCTAGGTTTTGTCTGTTTTAGAATTCAGGCAATGAGAACTAGAGAAGCCATCAACATTACAAAGTAGAATTTTGGCTGTATGAAACCCAATTTTCAGAGTTTTTTCTGTGAGCTGTTTGCGGTTCTTCTCTTATTTATTTATTTTTTTCTGTACCATTCTCATAAAAATTTTAAAAATCCAAGATGTTAATTGAACAAAAGGTGTTTTGTTCTGTTTAACCTTTTCATGTTATTAGTTTAATTGGTTATATTTCTTCATCGACCAGTTTCTTTTATGTGATAGCAGGGGAGAGACTTTGAAATAGATAAGAGAGAGGAGTCTGAGATTGTACTGTTCCAAATTACCTTCCTGCAGGAGGGAGATGCCTGGCAGAATTCCAGGATACAGTTTTAGAATGGAACTCCTAAGAGATTCTATACAGATAACATTTCAGTGGGTCAATTAATAACCTAAATATTTGGTTAATTTTATAATCAGTTACTTATATATAATAGCAGAACTATCACTGTATTATAAATTCTAGAGATTTGAGTTACTATGGAATGGTTGAAACATTTTTCATATAAAAGACATTATCCTTTCTCTGCATGTTTAAGAGATAACACTTGGCAGAAACCGGTTTGGCTCAGCTGTAGAGCGTCGGTCTGCGGACTGAAAGGTCCCAGGTTCGATTCTGGTCAAGGGCATGTACATTGGTTGCAGGCACATCCCCAGCAAGAGGCAGCTGGTCGATGTTTCTCTCTCATCAACATTTCTAGCTCTCTATCTCTCTCCCTTCCTCTCTATAAAAAAACCAATAAAATATATTTTAAAAAAAGAGATAACACTTGAATAACACTGGAATAAATGGATGTTCTTGCAATTGCCAGCCAAGCTACTCCCTTCCCTTAAGAGCACAACACACAGATGGGAATATGTTAATTACCTTCTGAATCAGAAATTAGCAAAGGAGAAATAAGTTTGGCATCTATAATAATAAAAGCATAATATGCTAATTAGACTGGACTTCCTTTCAAACATCATTCTGGACAACCTTCTGGATGAAGCTGGGGCTATGAGAGAAACCCGGGTCCCAGGTGCCGGAGGGAATCGGTGCTGGAATCGGGGGAAGGAAAGCCTACTCTTGCATGAATTTCATGCATCAGGCCTCTAGTATCTCTATAAAAAGACTATTGTGCATTCCTCAAAATGTTGGCATGGGAGATTTTCATGATACATTGTTAAAAGAAAACTTGGATTGTAAAATAATATAATTAAATATAGACATTGAGAAGGGAAAATGAATATTATAAATAGGCATAACAAATATCTGGAATACCATTTATTTCATGAGTAACAATACACTAAGTAGTCAGGTTACAGGTGATCTTTGTTTTTTTATTTAGCCTTTATTTACTAATTTTTCTGCAGTGATCCCATGCCACATTCCTAATTAGAGGCATTTGTATTTCTGAATGATTTAAGTTTAATGTGTTTTTTCGTTCAGCTTTTGTAAAATGCATGCCATCAACTACCTTCTCTTTCCTGGTGATGGATTTGTATCACACAGCCCTTGTCTATGTCCCGTAGCATATGATTTTAGGTAGCCTGTGGGGTCATCTGGTGGTCATGAAGCCAACCTGCAGCTGTGAACTCAGCTGTGTTTAATTTTCTTAAACACGGGATGTTCCAGTTACATTTTCATAACAACAATGAAGACAAAAAACTCCAGCTGCTGAAGTGGGAGTATATTATCTAATGGATTTCTGGGTACATACAGTTATGTTTTGCTTTTTGTCTAATGAAATCCTGGCAGTGATGTCGGAAATGACATCACAACCACACATGGCTCATTTATTCCCTTGAGTCCTTATATAGCTAGAAAGTTCACAGGGGTTAGTCTGCAGCTGCCCTTAATGACATCTTCTGAGTAATATGTACTCAGTGCCTTTGGAAATGAAAATTGATGAATCTTGTCTGATCCAGGTAGGTAGAAGCAAAGTTTATTTTTTAGTCAGCAATAGGAGGATGAGTCACTTTTACTTCTCTGAAGTTAAAACTCAGAGTGCCTGGGGTAATTTGGTTAAAGAGAGTAGAGAGGAGGGGGTAGGCAGATTTGCTGACCGAAGATCCTGAGCCAAGGCCTACAGGGGAAAGGGGTGGTGATAGTCAATTCCTTACGCCCTGGCTGAGGATGATGGGGAAGGGAGGCTTGTCAGTAGTAACCAGGTGATTACAGGCAGAGCTTTGAGGTTTATTGTAGAGTCCTACTACTGGTTGGGGATTCCACATTAGATTAACAAATATGGATTAAATACAGGGCATCCCAAAATACATACACCCGCTTTAATAAAGGCAGTTTTTATTAAAATTCATTTCACATTCAAAATTGAGCAATCAGCTGTTAAAGTATGTATACAATTTTGGGGGAACACCCCGTATTTTTTTGCCTACCCACATTTGGCTACTCTCATTGTTTTCTTTGTAAATTTTAGATCAACCGAGCTCCGAGCTTTGGGACTGATCAGAAAATAGACTATGACGTAAAAAGGGGAGTGCTGCTAAATGCACTGAAGCTCCTCAACATCAGGTAAAGTATTCCCTCCATCTTTTGGAAAGTTTTTGTGACATCTGACATAGAGCATTCATTTGTACATGGGATTGGCTTGACATTTTTTGTATTTTATATTTTGAATTTCTTGATTCCATTCTTCAAAGTAAATTTGAATTTTTAATCTCCTCTAACACATAGGTTTTTCTTCTCCTTACTTAAGGGTCTGAACCTACAGTAAAGTTAGAGTATTTCTATACTTATCCTATATAATAAAAGCCCAATATGCAAATTGATTAAACAGTAGACAAACCAGTTGCTATGACATGCACTGACCAACAGGGGGCAGATGCTCAATGCAGGAGCTGCCCTCCTGTGGTCAGTGCGTTCACTAAGAAGCAGCTAAGGATCAGCAAGTTTAATATAGAATACTAGAGACCTGTTACAGGAAGATTCCTGCAAGAATAGGGCTTCCTCAGGCCTATTGCTGGAAGAATAGAGCTTTCCGTGGCTGGAGCCAAGCAGATAAGGGAGCGGGCTTCCCTCCATTCTCTGCCACCCTGCTTGCTTCTCCGCAGCTTCACTCCCTTCTGCAGCACTTGGCTTCCTTCTACACTGTCTTCAGTCTTTTCTCTGCACCTGTGTATGCAAATCAACCACCATCTTTGTTGAGTTAATTTGCATACTCTCTCTGATTGGCTGGTGAGCATAGTAGAGGGACGGTCAATCTGCATGTCTCTCTTTTATTAGTGTAGATGAGGTTGAATTGGAGACTGCCTTAGGAAATGCTCTAGATTATTTCCTCATCTTATAAGAAGAAACTGAAGCAGAGAGGTTATTCAGAAAGTAAAACATCTCAAACATTGATTTCCTGCCTTTCTATCTAGAGGTCTTCCCAATATATCTTGCTACTTGGGTAAATAGAAAAGAAAGACAGTTGTTAAGTGAGGCTTAACTTTCCCATTGAAAAAATATCTGAGAGATTTCCCCCACTCTCCCCCCCCCCTTTTTGTTGTTGTTAAGGATGAATAATATTCTGATTCTGTTGTATTATGCACCACATTTTCTTTATACATTCATCCACTGGTGGGCATTTAGGTTGCTATTGTCTTGGCTATTGTGACTAATGCTGAAATATATACGGGAGTGCAGATATTGCTATGAATCCTAATTTCAACTCCTTTGGATATATATACCCAGAAGTTGCAGTGTATATGATCATAGATGTCAAATATTCAAAACACTATTATATTGGAAAGCTTTTTACTCATGAAATAAATATTTTAGAAGTTTAACTGAACTTCTCAAAGAAGTAATGAAATATTTGCAATTATAAGGGTTGAAACAGCACTTAAGAGTGTTGGCTTAAAGGATCTATAAGGTTTTTTGATCTTACAGGTTTTATTATTTCAATTGATTCCACTTGTCATTTTAAGAGCTTTAAAGAAGCTGTTGGATGTTTCCATGCAATTTGTTTATGTTAAATGTTTCTAAGCACTTAGCAAATTCCTGATAGAAAAGTACCTTTCTTGGAAAGCATCATTAGAAAAAGAGATAGACATATAAATTTGTTCAAAAATGTTCATATGACTCCTTCTTTTGCCAATTAAAGAACGATTTGCCTAAATTCTGCTGATATCTCAAATATGTTAAAAGAAATGAAAATAATTTTTATTTTATTTATTTAGCTTACACGGTATCATTATTTTGAATTGCTTAAGCAATATGCCTATACTTTTTTTTTTTTTTTTTTTTTTTTGGCATTTACTATTATTGTATAAGTAGGCCTTGAATTTTCTTTTTCTTTCTGGCATGTCTTTTGATGTTGCCAGTTATGGTTCCAATTCAGGACCTTAACTATGGGTGTTTTTGGTATTTATTTATTTATTTATTTATTTATTTATTTATTTTATTTTTCCACAAAGAGGAAGGGAGAGGGATAGAGAGCTAGAAATGTTGATGAGAGAGAAACACCAACCAGCTGCCTCCTGCACACCCCCTACCGTGGATGTGCCCGCAACCAACGTGCATACCCTTGACCAGAATTGAACCTGGGACCTTTCAGTCCATAGGCCAACGCTCTATCCACTGAGCCAAACTGGTTTTGGCTGTTTCTGGTATTTTTAAAAGAGATATATACATTGAAACAGTGAGACATTTCTAGGCTTAAAACTAAGGGAGAATTGGACTTCATATTTCTTAATTTTCTTAATGTTGTTCCACTAAGAGAATTTAGCTCAATTCATAACAGTTAGAGCATATGCTTAGGTTACAGCAGTGCCTTTTCTCTCCAGCCAGATGGAGGGCTCCTTGGGCATATGTTAGACTTGTATTTCTCTATGACGAGGTTTGCAATGGGCACATCATCCTATCTAATAAAAAGGGAATCTGCTGATTGACCCTCACACCATCACAAAGATGGCGGTACCCACAGCCAATAAGGAGGGAATATGCTAATTGACCGCACCACCCTCAAAGTTGGCAGTGCCATAGCCAATAAGGAGGGAATATGCTAATTGACTGCCCTGCCCTCAAAGATGATGGCACCCACAGCTAACAAGGATGGAATAAGCTAATTGACTGCCTTGCCTTCAAAGATGGCAGCTCTCACAGCCAATAAGGAGGGAATATGCTAATTGACTGCCCCACCTTAAAAGATGGTGGTACCACAACAACAAGAAGTGCAGCAAGGCTAGGCCATCCCCAGGCGGCCCTGGCCACTCCATGTGCCTGCCTCCAGAGTCCTCTAGGCTCCTCAGCCCCCCCAGCCACCCAGGGCCAGCCCAAGGTGCAGGCAAGCCTCAGATGGTAGCCGTCCAGCTGCTTAGGGCCACCTGAATCTAAGGTAACCGGGGCTGGTCAAGGTTTGCGCTGCCAGTAGTGGCAGCAGCAGAAGTGTGATGGGGCATTGCCTTTCCCTGATCGCCAGGTCACCTCTGGCCCCTGAGGACTCCCAGACTGTGAGAGGAGGCAGGCTGGGCCGTGGGATGTCCTCCCTCCAGGCCTCTAGTGGAAATAAGCAGGAGCTGAGAACACTAGAAAAATTATTGTCTATTAAATACTAGAGGCCTGGTGCACGAAATTTGTGCACAGGGGTGGGGGAGATCCACTCAAATCCACTCAGCCCAGTCTGCACTCTCTCCAATCCAGGACCCCTCAGGGGATGTCCGACTGCCAGTTTAGGCCCAATCCCCCTGTCAGCCTAGTTGCCCCTCACTGCCCCTCCCCCCCAGTCTAATCACCCCCAACTGTTTCCACCTACCAGCCTGGTCACCCCCAACTGCACCCCCCTGCCAGCCACAATTCCTAGAAGGATGCTTTGCTTATAGTATGGCTCCACATGTACCCCAAAATTCATAGTGTAAATGTATCTTTCAGTCTCAAGAAAATCCAAAAGTGTGTATGTAGCTCAGAGTATGTATCACAGCCCCTGAGAATACTGAACCTCATACTAATGGGTCAGAATTGATCCCCTTTGTACTTGGATGGCACAATGTAATTTGAGTTCAGATTCAAATAATTTTCTGAAACATTTGGCATGGGGTCTTCAGAGACAAGAGAGTACAAAAGGGACTATATGAAGAACAAGAGAAAAAATAATAAGCAAAGGTAAACAGTAAAATAGTAATAAGTAAAAAAGGTGATATTTTTGCTCTAACTGGTTTGGCTCAGTGGATAGAGCATCAGCCTATGGACTGAGGAGTCCCAGGTTTGATTCCGGTCAAGGGCATGTACCTTTGTTGTGGGCACATCCCTGGTAGGGGGTGTGCAGGAGGCAACTGATCAATGTTTCTCTCTCATTGATGTTTCTAACTCTCTTTCCCTTTCCCTTCTTCTCCGTAAAAATCAATTAAAAATATATATTTTTAAAGATGCTTTTTTAGTAATAAAAGGAAAAGGCAATCTTGTATAGTGAGGGTATTGGTGTGTTGATAAGAAGAATCATTTTTCTTCCATGAGAATTATATTAGAATCATTGAGTCTAGAAAAGATAATTATAGTCTCATGAGTTCTGTAAGTCTGAAATACTGTACTGTTTATTAGTTTAATTTAGATTGAATTAGGTTACATTAGATTACCTGACCCTTATTTATGATTAGTTCACAGGCTACATGTGCATGGTGTACACAGCATTTCATGCTACTCTGCCCTTGAAAATTAATTCTCATTGGCCTCTTTGACACTCTATTTTCTGAATTCACTTAACTTTGAGCATTTCTCTGTCTTCTAAGATTTCATTTATGTCTCTTTACTTGTCATTTTCTCACTGTATTCTTGCCTCAGACCTCTTTTCCTCTGTGTCAGTCTCATTCATTTTTGTGGCATCTTTTGTGAGTCAGACACTGGAGTCCCAGTTCTACACCTGTATTGAGGTACAGATTAGGGTTCCTCTCAACAGCTCTGTCCTCTCTTGGGCTCTGGTCTTGCATTTGCAGATCTCTGCTGAGCATTTACGCTCGATGTTTCTAGTCTAATAGAGGCTCAGTTAATTTGTAATGAATGAGTGAACTAATAAAGAAGTAAGTAAATAAATGAATGGGTGAATGTCCTGATGACACTTTAAATTCAATATGATCAGAAGTTTCATTACCTTCTCCTTCAATTATATTTGTCTCGCTGGGTTTCTCTCTTTTCTTCTGCTAATGATGTCAATTACCTTCAACTTACAAAAGAAAATCTTTTCATATATTTAATGTACATTCTTAGCTTATATTGTGCTAGAAGTTGGAGATAAAAAATGAGTAAAATTTTTTCTCTTTAAGTGGCTGTTATTAAAAGGGAAACCATATGCTCATAGAAAAGTACTTACAATGATAATCACTCAAACCTAGTTTTGCATCTTGCTTTGCTTTGCTAGTTAATGATAAAACCATCCATATAAATATTCAGGCTAGAAAGTTGGGAGTTATCATTAGCTTCTTCCTTTATAATGAATCAACTTAATCCTGTACAAGGTATGACTACCATTTAATTTCTTAGTTTCACTAAGTTTAATGACTTCTCATTTCTCTCCTGGATTATTTTACTGGCTTTCTTCCTTCTTCTAGTGCTAACCCCACCCATTTTTCAGCCTCCGTTCTGTTGCTCTGCAAGTCATTTGACAAGTGTTAACTACTACTGCAATAGGGACTAGGAATTCAGTGTGTCCCATGATTCCTGGGTTTCTAGCTTAGACAACTTGTTTGACAATACAGTACTGATTTAGATAAAAATTTTAAGTAAGAAACAGATTGAGAGGAGCGATGGGGGAAGGTAGAGAGAGATAGTTCAGTTTTAAACATGTTAATTTTGAGGTTCTCTGAGACCCTAGGCAGAATTGTTAACTGGGAAATCTGACATCCCTGGGAGATAGAGATGTCTGTTTGACTGACAGCCATGTACAGATTGCTGTTGGGTCTAATGGATGAAAGCACATAGAGTGTACATATTGAGAAATAAAGGGGATCCTGGCAGAGTCCTGAGAAATGCCAACATTAAAAAATGTTTTTAGAGAGAGAGAGGGATGCAAAGGGAGAGAGAGAGAAACAACGATGAGAGAGAAACATTGACTTCGATCAACATTGATTGGCTGCCTCCTGATGCCTTCTGCTGGGGATCCAGCCCACAACCGTGGGCAAGTGTCTTGACCGGAAATAGAACCAGTGGCTTCTTGGTGATGGGTTGATACTCAACCACTGAACCACAGTAGGTCGGCGAGGAATTCCAACATTTGAAAAGATATTTATAAACTCTGATATTCTGATCACGTTGTTTCTACTCTATCAGATAAAGTTTAAACATTGCATCAAAGCAGCTTTGATCTTTAGATTGTATACAAAACAGCATTTGATCTGGTCTTTGCCTCTCTCATCAATATGATCACTTTTTGTTCTTTCCCCTGCCTTGGAATTAATTTTTCTAAGAACACATGTGTGGTGCTGTTCCCCATGTTCATGGTTTTTGCATGTTTTCTCATTTAAATGTACATTTATCTTTGTTCCTCTGGTGAATATCAACTCATTACATTTTTTTTTGGGGGGGGGTAAATATACTTAACATAAAATTTACTATCTTAGCCATTTTTAAGTGTGTAATTCAGTGGCGTTAAGTATGTGCACAGTGTTGTACAACCATCACCTCCATCCATCTCCAGGGCTTTTTCATTGTGCAAAACTGAAAGTCTGTACTCATTAAGCCAGAACTCTCCAGAGATTGAACCTGCTATCTGGGAGGGAAGAAAGAAGAACAGCGTTTCAGAGGAAAGCAGTCTCCCAACAGGACTTATTCTATGAAAATCAGACAGCTGTGACTAAATTTGCATGATTGGGCAAAAATGAGAAGGACCATGTAGAAGTCTTCAAAGAAATAATGATTGTTAGGCTAGGAATTCAGTCAGAATTAAAAATATACTAAGGAGTGATTAGTGCAAATGAGGGATTACTTAAATATGAATGGAATTGTTGAAGGAAGAGAAAGGAGCCAATATTCATTAAGAACCTGTTATTGATATCACAAGTTAATCTTTATAAGAACCGTAGGAAGGAAACATTAGTGTTAGCATTTAGTAGACAGAGAAACAGACTCAGCAGGTAATTAGCCTGAGATTGTAGAGCTAGTACATCGTTATACTGTTTTCATTTTATTTTGTTACCTTCAGAACTTCTATTTACTATGGAGAGACCCTTATTTGATGGATGATTAGATGAATATCACATACTTGAATATATAATTTAATAAACATTGATTCCTATTGTCACTGTGTCTCCTTTTCTGCTCCTTCTCCTCACAGGGATAAGATCAGAATTGGAATTCTAGAATAGAATCTTGTGTTTTATATTTTAGGTCCAGCGATAAAAGGAAAAACTTAGCCAAACAAAAAGCTGAGGCTCAGAGGAGGCTTTATGGTCAGAATTCAATCAAAAGGCTCTTGCCAGGTTCCTCAGACTGGGAGCAGCAGAGGCATCAGCTGGAGAGGCGGAAAGAGGAATTGGTATGACTGTTTTAACACACCAACGTTTTGAATTGCATAATTCATTTGCCAGGCTTTATTTGTCAAATTTCTGTATTCTAGAAAGAGAGACTTGTTCAAGTGCGAAAGCAGGTCTCTAAAGAACAACACGAAAATCGACATATGGGGAATTATAGGTAAGCGTGCTTCCTTTTTATACAGATTGTACAAATGAAGTATCAAAACAAAAATGAGTCTACATTTTTTAACCCTTTAGGCTTGTTTTAAGCACTGTTCATTTTACTTTGAGATAGTGCTTTTGTTTGATATTTTTCTAGAATGAAAAGGTAGACAGTAAGTAGATGGTTTAGACTTGGGAGACTCCTACTAGCTAGCCTGGAGGGTGGTTAAATCTGATATTATCTTTCAAATCAGGTATTATACCATGACTATATCTATAATACAAAAGCCCAGCAACTGAATGGCGGATGACAAGAATGACCCATCAACCAGTTGCCATGATGTGCATTGACCACCAGGGGGCAGATGCTCAATGCAGGAGCTGCCCCCTGGTGGTCAGTGTGCTTCCCACAGTGGAAGCAGCTGCTCAGAGGACAGGTCCATAGTCACTTGACTGACTGGAATGAACTGTGCTCCCACAGTGGGCCCCAGTGCATGAATCCGTGCACTGAGCCTCTAGTTTGGCTATAATATGGTGTTTTGAGAAAGGTTTCAGGTCTTCTAGTATTCTTTCTGCCAGTTTCAAGAGGTGTCTATATTTTGTTTTAAACTCTAATGTATCAGGGTCTAGGCAAATAAGGAAGATGTTTGAAGGAGGCAAGTAGGAGGCAAGTATGAGACCCTAGAAAGTGTGTGGACTCTGCTAAAGGAAATCTCTTCCATGGTATCAGCTTTGTCAGGATAAAAGGAGACTCCCTAAACTCCTTGTGTTCTTAAAGAGACGTCTTTTCTCCTAAGCTTTGACATGACCTCAGCAGAATTAGGAGAACTGGGGGCCATAGAACATCTTGCACTCATAATAAGACATTCTTCCCTAGCTTTAACACCATCAGCAGGAGTGATGATATCACATTTCCTTTCACCCTACCTCTACCAAATTCTCTCCACTATTCCAAGAGGTCATCAGGTTAATCTCGGGCTTCTTCAATAACCACACTAAATCCAAGACTCCCAAATTATCCCTCATCACCTAAATTCTCCCCCATGAAGTTTTGGATTTCTTCAGTATCCCCAATTGCAATGATTTCAACCACTACCTTCAACTAAACCTTCATACTGTATCATCTGGAGTTGGATTGTTTAAGATAATTCTCTAGATAAACTTTAATTTGTGTGCATGACAATGAACATTTATGGATTTTTCATAACTGTATTCATCTTTATTTGTGGCACCCAGTAAAGGCAGAATAGGTGGTCAAGGATTAGCTATGTGGTTGACATTAACTCTTACACTATAATAGCTTCTTTTTTTAAATTGAATTTACTGGGGCGACACTGGTTGCAAAATTATACAGATTTCAAGTGTGCAACTCAACAAAACATCATCTGTGCACTTTATCATGCACCCATCGCCCCAAGCAGTCTCTTTCCATCCCCATTTTCTCCCTCTTTGCCCACCTCCACCCACCCCTACCCTCTTTCCCTCTGGCTATCACCACACTGTTTTTCTGTGTGTATGCATTATGTATATGTTTTTGTTTTTTGCTAATCCCTTTCTTTACCTTTTTTCACCCAGCTACCCAATTCCCCTCTCCTTTGACAGTTGTCAGTCTGTTAATAGTTTCTTTTAAACACGTTGGTTTATCTGATTTTATTGTAGACGAATTTATCCTCCTGAAGATAAAACTCTACTTGAAAAGTATGAAAATTTGTTGGCTGCTGCCTTTCAGACCTTTCTTTCAGGAAGAGCAGCTTCATTCCAGCGTGAGCTGAACAATCCCTTGAAAAGGATGAAGGTAAAGAGATACGTGTTTTTAAAGAGAAAAAAGAATCATGCCTAATACTTTTCAAAACAACCTACCTCAGTCCCACATATACAAGCATTTTACGTTGAAGATGCACTTGCTTCCATTTTCACAGTTGGTAACATTTCATAACCAAGCAGGTGGTTTCAAAAATAAGATGTTGTCGAACAGGACAAATTATGCAGTAGAGAGTGTTGATATCATATGCTGCAATAGTGATCTATTGTAATAAACACGTGTTATAACAACCATGTATATGTAACTGAATTAAAAAAATCCATTGTGTCTACCAAGTGGTTTGTAATGTTCTCATTATTTGTATCGTAACTAACAATTATTCAGTATTTTTCCCTGATACTGTCTAGGCTTGATATATGAGAAGTAATAAAAACACATGCATACCCCTGGACCTCCCCGTACTCCCCACATAGTAATCTCTTTACCTTGCCTACGGTCTATCAGTTATCTATTGCAGCATAATAAACCATGCCATTTATTTGCTCAGTATTCTGCTCTCTTGGCTGGGCTCACTTGAATAGTTCTTTCTGCTTGTCTTGCTTGAAGTGAATAAAGTATTCACTGCATTTATCTTAAAGGATGTGCAAGATGCCTTCACTGACATGTCTAGAGCCTTAGGTGGGAGCTGGAACATCTGAGGAGCTGACTGGGTATCTCTCACTCTCCTCAATGTCTCTCATCAGGGTAGCCAGATCTCTCACTGTGGTAACCTGAGGCTCCAAAAGGGAGAATTTAAAGACAGGCCCAGTGTGCAAGTGCTAATCAAGTCTCTGCTTGCATCACACTTACTAATGTTCATTGGACATATAACTTTATGTGGACTTATTAATACTGTTTAGACTTTATATTACTTGACATATCCCTGTAGTGATATATTCCCCATATCTTGGATACACAGTTATGTTGAGTGATTCAAAAATCATGATAGAATATGATCTTTTCACTCAGATTCCACAACAGAAAGTTTCAAAGCCACTTTCAAGCTGGCTAGACCTAAGAGATAGAAGCAGAAGGAACATTGTATATCCAGTGTTATTTTCCTCTTTTTATGTAGGCAAATGCTTTACCATTAGAATTATGTTCTTTGGCCTTTTTGTTTTTATTTTTAAAAATATTTGTATTGATTTCAGAGAGGAATGAGAGGGAGAGAGAGATGGAAACATCAATGATGAGAGAGAATCATCGATTGGCTGCCTCCAGTTTACCCCACACTAGGATTGAGCCTGCAACCTGGAGATGTGTCCTGACCAAGAATCCATCCAACTGTGACCTCTTGGTTCATAGGTCAACGTTCAACCACTGAGCCAAGCCAGCCAGGCCCTGTTTTAGTGTTTTGTTTTGTTTTTAAACCCAGTGGGAGACTTTTCTTAATTTTTCCTACCTGTTGTATAATGTTATTTCTCTCTCCTGTGGATAAAGAATCTGTTCCTTCTCATTACACTGATCCTCTATCCTTATTTTTTTTCTAGTAGAAAACCTCAGGGTACAGATACACCTGGTTTCATATTCTAGTTTCCCCATATGTTAATTTTATAACCTTAGGCTAAACTATTTGATCAGTAGTTTCCTTGGCACCAAAATACCGTGTTTCCCCAAAAATAAGACATCCTCCGAAAATAAGACCTAGTGCATGGAAAGATAAGACATCCCCTGAAAATAAGACCTAGCGCAACTTTGGGAGAAAAAATTAATATAAGACACTGTCTTATTTTCGGGGAAACAGGGTAGTAGTATCAAAACTACTTGTCAGGTTAGTTATGAAAATAAAATTGAGGTTAACTAAACTAGTCTATTAAAGTTACTTGACACTTAATGAATAGGCTTCAAATCTTAAATCCTTATCTCTGTTCCTCAAAATCTAGTTTAAATGTCACCACTTTATTTGCCCTGTTTTCTGGGCCTGTGAGCCTATTCTTATGCAAATTTTATACTTTTAAAAAAAATATTGTTTCTTTTAGTAAGTGTTGAGATTAGTAGTACCTGCACTAAGTTTGTTCTTTTTCAAACTGTTTTGGGCTTTCTAGGTCCTTTTACATTTTCCTATAAATTTTAGAATAGAAAAGGCTGCTGGAATTTTGATTGGGACTGTGAAGAAATTGTAAAACAATTTCTCACTAATTAACAATACTGAGTCTCTGATTCATTAATATGGCATATCCACTTATTTTAGTCTTTTATTACTCAGCTCTGTTTGTAGTTTTTGCTGTATAGTTCTTGAACATCTTTCATTAAATTTATTAAGTATTTTAGTTTTTTGCTACTGTTGCCAATAAATAGTTTTTCATTCCCCCCCCCCCACTTTTTGGTTTGTTGACTGGATGTAAATATCTGATTATTTTTATATATTGCCCTTATACTTAGCAATTTTTACAATATTTTTGAATATTGTATTTTTATTAAATTTTGATTTTGATTTTGGTTATTTAGAAGTTTGTTGATTAATTTCCATACATTAAAATTTTGTACTTTTATTTTTTTAGGGGTTTCTGATATTGTTGATTGGTGTTAGAAAAGCATTTCAGTCTTGTAAAGTGAATTGAGACTTGCTTTGTGTCTCAATATAGTGCTTATTTTAGCAAATGTACCAAGTCTAGTTGGTAATATGTATACTGTATGTGTTGGTTGTAGAGATTTATAGATGTCATTTAAGTAAATTTGGCTGTTAAGTGTTGTTTAAATAGTCTGTATCCTTTTATATAATTTTTGGCCTACTTGGTGTAGCAGTTGCTGAGAGAGATTTGTGGATTTAGTTCTGCCATTTTTTGTTTCAAATACTTTAAAGTTCTGAAGGTGTCTTTCTAATTCACCTTTTCTATTTTATCATTATGCAGTGTTTCTCTTTCTTTTGGGTAGCATTCTTTGTCTTAATTTCACTTTACGTGATTAATAGGTTTTTTCTTGTGGTTACTGTTTAAATGACATATCTTTTCTATCATATTAAAAGTAACTTTTAACTCATATTAAAAATAACAATATTTACAATACCTCTGGTAAATAGCATGAAGTTAGGTAATACTTGTTTTTAAATCTAGTCTGACTATGTGTCTTTAAATCATTTTTCAAAATTACTGGTATAGTTGGGTTTATGTCTGCCTTTTGATCTTTTTTTTTTCTTTCTATTTATACTATCTGTTTATTATTCCTTTTTTGCTTCTTTTTTTATTCTTGGAAAAGTTAATTTTAAAATTACATTATTTTATCTTTACTATTGGCTTTTAGTTATATTTGCAGGATAATAAGGGGTTTTAAAAAGAAATTACAATATACATCCTTAAATTATAAAGTCTACCTTGAGTTAGGGTTCTTGTGAAGTAATAAAATACTAACAGTTTAATTTTTTTTTTTTTGGTGCCTCTCTCTAAACTTTGTGCTGTTTCACATATATTACTTTTGCATCATTAATTCATTTTGTTTTCATTGCTCCCTGTAACATGTATATAATAATTTTTAAAAAATCTTTAATTTTAATATTTGGATTATTTACTGACCTGCTTTTATTGATATCCAATACTTTTGATTATAGGTCACATTTTTTTATTATTATTTTAGATGTCCTATAATTTTTGTTTGGTAGATGCTTATAAAAGAATCATAAAGCTGAAATGATGTTATTTTCTCCAAAAGAAGGCAAATATTTCTTAATACAAAGTGTTAGAGTGAGGGGGTAATTACTTCGAGCCCAAGAAAAATTAAAGGAAAGCAATCAGTAAGTGGTACTACATCAAAATTAAAAGCTTCCATACACAGAAGAAACAAATAAACAAAAGATGCAACCTACAGAATGAGAGAATATTTTTGCAAACTATATATCTAGAATAAGGAGTTAATAGCCAAATATATAAAGAATTAATATAACTCAATAACAAAAAGCCCATCTGATTAAAAAATAGAAGAACCCAATAGACATTTTTCCAAAGACTACACCCAAATGGCCAACAAAGATATGAAAGATGCTCCACATCACAAATCATGAAGGAAATATAAAGAAAAACTACAATTATCAATCACTTTATACCTGTTCGAATGGCTATTAATAAAAAAAGACAGAGTTAATAATTATTGGAAGGATGTGAGAAAAAGGAAATTCTTGCACACTTATGGTGGGAGTGTAAATTGGTTCAGCTGCTGTGGAAAACAACCTAAGTGCCTGTCAGTGGAGGAGTGGATATAGATAATGTATTGTAGACTACAATGTGAGAAAAAGGAAATTCTTGCACACTTATGGTGGGAGTGTAAATTGGTTCAGCTGCTGTGGAAAACAACCTAAGTGCCTGTCAGTGGAGGAGTGGATATAGATAATGTATTGTAGACTACAATGAACTATTATTCTGTGATGAGAAGAAGAAAATCCTGCCATTGGAGGCAACCTGGATGGACATTATGCTAAGTGAGATAAGTCAGACAGAGAAAGACAAACACTGTATGATATCACTTATGTGTGAAATTTTAAAAAAAGCCAATTAAAAACAATCAATATAGAAATGATTGATAGAATTTTGGTCTAGAAAATTAGAGTGATTTTTAGAAATTTTAAAATTTCTAATAGGCTAATTTATGATAGTCAGTATTAACAATGTACTAAAACATAAAGATACATTTGTTTATAATCTATAATAAAAGCATAATATGCAAATCGACCAGATGATCAAACAGCAGAAGACCCTCCCGATCACACTCACTGGCGCCAGGCCAGACAAGGCAGGTGCTATGCGATTGGTTAGGAGGCCCCACCATCGCCCCACGATTGCCCCACAGAGGGAGGCTCGGGCCACTCTCTGTAGGGCCATCGATGAGGGGGCTCCACAGAACTGGAGAAGTGGGTGTGTGTGCAGTGGATGCGAGCAGCACCAGGCAAGGGCCCCAGCAGCTGGGGCCAGGGCTGGGAAGGCCCACCCTTGCACGAATTCCATGCATTGGGCCTATAGTAATATATAATAGATTTTCAGCAATGTATTATTTGTTATATTTTAGTGAACAACATTTTTTTTAAAAGGTTTTTCATGACCCTTTATTACTCATTTGATCTGAGTAGTCTTCATTAAATAGTTTTAGGAATTGTATTGTACACTATTTTATGGAGATGAATGAATTTTGAAAAATCCTAGAGTCATTTGGTGATCATAGTTTTAATTAAATATCTTTTTAAGGAGGAAGATATTTTGGATCTTCTGGAGCAATGTGAAATTGATGATGAAAAGTTGATGGGCAAAACTTCCAGGCCTCGAGGACCAAAGGTACAGTACCTCTATCTTTCCTAGTATGAGAGTAGATGTGACTACTAAGTACAGTTGTTTCCCCTTTGTATTTATTACTATAGTAATGACTGATGCCACTTTCATGAAACAGCATGGACTATGTGTGCAGTACAGAGAGAGTTGGTTATACCACACATAGAAGTTCTATTTTTTGGTTTGGTTAGTTTTCCTCACTTTTTTTGGATTCTTTTTGTAATACTAGTGAAATCCTGATGACTCGGGACCAAAAGGAACCTAGCACTAATAACCCTATTTTATACTCAGTATTAATTTTTCCTCATTTCTCTAGACATATAATTACCAGAGAAGTATAGTGATATAGATGAGGCAAGTCATGACTCTAGAAAACCTTATCATGAGCCTCATATTTTGCTGACCTAACAACATTGAAATTGTGTTAGTTAAAATAGACAGCGTCTAGGATAAAGAGAAAGCAATTGTGCATGCAAAAATGAGCAGGTGTTTGCTTTACCTTTATTTGCTCTGTGGTGATGACATCAATGTGGTCTTTGGTTATAAGTCAAAAGTCAAAAAGTTCTTGCTAACAGAGTAGGGAAGAGATGAATTTGTTAAGTCTTGTGCTCTTAATACTTTACGTTTCAGCAATACTAAGCTATGTCCTTACACGCATCTTTCTCTGTTGTCCTTTCATGCTTTTTCTATGCCTCTGTGCTGACTGATTAGACTCCCCCATCCTCCCCCCCCAATCCAGCTGAACTGGTGCTACCTTTGTGTAACCTTCTTCATTCTCAAATTAGACTTAGCTCTTCCTTCCCCTCCTCCTGCTGTATCACAAATAATGCTTCTGTAGAGCAGTTGTGCCAAATAATTACTTGAATCTTTGCCTTAATGAAAGGTTGTAAGTTTCTTGAGGGTAGGAAGTATATTTTCATCTTTGCATCTCGCACATCTCGCACAGCATCTGGAACTTGGTAGGTTCTCAAATACTATTAGTTAGGCCCTGGCTGGTGTAGCTCCGTTGGTTGGGCATTGCCCAGTGCACCAAAAGGTGGCCAGTATGATTCCCTGTCAGAGCACATGCCCGAGTTGCACCTCGATTTCCAGTAGGGGGCATGCAGGAGGCAGCTGATTATGTTCTCAGCTCACATCATTGTTCCTCTCTCCCTCTTCCTCTCTCTAAAAAACAATAAAAATATTAAAAAAAAACAAACAAACCACTATTAGTTAAATTTGTTGAATGTGTCTGCAAGGACCTCATTGGAAGAATGAGCCAATAGGTAAACCAAAAAACAGATTGTGGCAAATACTGCAATAAAGCGAGTGGAAAGTGTTACAGCGAGAGAAGAAAGGGATTGGTAGACTTGTGTATGGCTCCGTAAATGCCATTCAAACTGGGCCTGTACAAATGAGTAATGCTGTAAACATTTATGATGGGTGAAGGACGGACGTTTGGGTTAAAAGGAACGTTAAAGGCAATGACACAGAGTTGTGACACTGCCTAGTTTGTTAGAGAAACATGAAGAATTTAGTGTGACACCTGTGGAAGATTCTTGGAGAGTACAATGGTACATGATGAACCTGGTGAAAGATATGGATATAGTGGAGACCGGAGGTCTTGGATGTCAGGCGCTGTTCTTCTGAATTATATCCTCTCTATTGAGGAATTGTGGGAGATGGTGTTGCTACTGCCTTTGGAACAAATATATTTTAGCATATCTGTAAAAGTGAATAGCTTAATGAGTCATTGCTTCACTTTGGAAAACATTGGGAAGTTTCTGAGCTTTGTATATTAATTGCAATTCATGTATGACCCACTTACAAATGAAATTGGACATAAAAGTAAGTAGCATGGTTTATGTGATTACTCAATGCCAGTTCACAAATAATTCCATTTCGCAGTTAAGGCATTGTTTAGCGTTTATGCCACTATGATATCTTATTAGTTATTGCTTGAGACAGTGTAGTGGTCAAAAGGCACAGGCTGTAGATTCCTCTTGTGATTCTCTAAAAGGTCGAATAGCTCACTATATAGTCAGGCTTCCTTAAAAAACCTGAAATCTGTTTGCCTCCGTGAAGGAAGGCTCTGTCAGGGAGCCTAATTGTGCAACTGTTTCTTCTGGGCCGGCTAGACTTCCGAAGAAACACCCTTCCTCCAGAATACTTACTCCCCAAGGCTGTCAAGATATTTGATGATTTTATTACTGGTAAATTACTGGTTTTTATGCATATCACCATGAACATTGCTATGCCAGTAAATATTAGACTATTAAAAGGAGAACATACTTTTAAGCACAAGTTGGTACCTTAGTATATTAAATTACTTTCCTCTGGTTAATTTTCCTCCTTTGCAAAGCCAGCAAATTTAAGAAGATCACGCTCTGGCTTCCTGTGGATTCCAGGCACTTCACATAATGCTCTTCCTTTCTGTACTGTCCATCTCACACTGTTACCTGAGAGGACATGCCTAATTCCAGGGAAATCCCATGGTAGCCAAGGATTTCATTGTTTTGTATGCTAACATCTAAACATCTGTGTCTGATTGATCAAAGAATAAGAAACTTATATACAACTATGGGAACTTTTTCCAGCAGGAATAAGAGGCATATGGCATGTGTGATAAATAGTCTCTTCACATGACCAAGTTCCAGAGCTGTCTTGAGCTTGTTGGTGCGCACTCTTTGTGGAGTGAAGCTATCCCACTTCCCTGGTCTAATTCTTCCAGCTGCATTGGAAGCACATTGATGGGGAGGTTTGAAGACAAGTGATTCTAATGGAGATGTTGGAACACAGTAGCCCGGCATTTTGAATCTTTACAGTTTTACCCTCCTGCATGGCACCAGTCATTTAAAAAGTTTATGACATATTGATTTACATTATATCACGTTTGCTTTCCGTAAATGTAGCACAGGCAGTGAAAAGCAATGTTATCCCATTATGGCCAGACCCTTTGCGTCATCATTAGCAATCTTCTGAGAAAGGACCTAAGTTGTCCATAACCAATTTGGAAAGTGGACAATTAAATACAATTTTTCATTTGTAAAAAAAGCAAGTTAGATATGTGAGCAATACCTTAGTCCTTTTTGCACATTATCTGAGTGAATTGGTTCTTTGGCCTCTGTTTTAAGATGTGTCCTTTGTCGATGTATAGTGTTTTATCTTTCTTTACTTTCTGTGGTATATCTGGCCTCTGCTTGCTTTTTCTTTTTGTCTCTCTGCCCCTCTTGTCCTCCCTCTCTCCTTCTCCTCTCTTTCTCATAAGCATGTGCACACAAACACACACACTTTGAGTGAGTGAACATTAATGATACAACAGAGGTACATCTCTGTGTCTTGGTGAGTAATGGGTAACCTTTCTGTATGTAATGAAGAAAATTTGATTATGTTTCTAATTTTTATAATTTTATCTCTATTTTCTGTTTGTGATAACCTTGTCCTTTAAATCATCGAGAAAAAGCATTATCCTCATTATAACTGAACTATGATTTAAGAAAGAATATTTCACAGAAAAATTAGTGAATTGCATTGGAGGCTAATAGCACTGTAGCAAGTAGCATTTTGGAGGATTTTCAAGTGTCAGTGAGAAGTAACATGCACAGTGAGAAATTGAAAATAGTAATTAATCATGTTAATGTGCCTTCTTAAGAAACATTCTGACAGTAACACCTTTTTCTGTATTTTAGCCTCTCTGTTCCATGCCTGAGAGTACGGAGGTGATGAAAAGACAAAAGTACTACAGCAGTGACAGCAGTTATGATAGTAGTGAGAGCTCTTCAGAATCAGATGAAAATGAAGAGTACCAAAATAAAAGAAGAGAAAAGCAAGTTACTTATAATCTTAAACAGTCCAACCACTTCAAAATATTCCAACCATCCAGTAAGTTAATTTCTTAAAATTTAGTTATTATCTGAAGAATTATGGAACTGAATTACAAAACTCAATAAAAGGATCTTGAGCCAAATGAATGCTTGTTCGGTGTGAGGAGACCTGAATTCTATCCCACATTCTTCCCTAACCAGACGTGGGTATGTCCCACAATCCCATTCAGGGTCTGCAAGTAGAAGATGAAAGAGTTGACATAAGAATCACTATAGTCCATTCTTCTGTATTTCATAGTTTTTGTTAAGCCCTAGGCTTCTGCTAGGATTTATAAATTTTATGGATTTATAAATTGTGATGCATGACTGATCTGCTGATTGCCTTCTCTCTTAAGCCAATATATTTTTTCATGCCCTTTCCTGCTTTCTCTACCTCTCTGCCACCCATTTTGTTGCGTATCCTTGCCTACTTTTTAAAATATGTATCTCTCTAGGTATTTGACTTGAATGTGTCTGTGAGCCACACAATTGTGAAATAGTTTTGTTTCCTCTCATTTTCATCATGGGTAAGCGCTAAAGTTGGGGCTTTTTGTGTATTGGGGGAGTGAACAACCAGCTTCTCTGTCTTCTTCCTTTTTAGTTTTCTTTTTCTTTTTTATTATTATTATTTTTTAATATTTTTATTGATTTTTTTATAGAGAGGAAGGGAGAGAGCTAGAGAGCTAGAAATGTCAATGAGAGAGAGTCATCGATCAGCTGTCTCTTGCACACCCCCTACTGGGGATATGCCCGCAACCAACGTACATGCCCTTGACCGGAATCGAACCTGGGACCTTTCAGTCTGCAGATCGACACTCTACCACTGAGCCAAACTGGTTTCGGCTTTAGTATTATTTTTCTTTCTTCCTTTATGTCTTTTTACATTTTTTCTTCTGTTCTCCTGTCTTTTATTGCTTCTTTGATCCCTAGTGTCCACTATCGTGTCCATAGTTTTTCTTTCATCCCTAAATGTCCAGTGTGGCATCCCTCTTTGCCCGGATCCCTTAGCTATCCCTTCCTGACACTGCCTGCAATGCAGGACTAATTCTTATCTCTTGTCTCTCACGTCTCTGTTTGCCTTGACTTTCATTGTCCCAGGGCTCCATTAAAGGGACTGCTCCAATCATCCAATAAACACGATATGAGCCTTTGTTCATTTCTAGCAATGTTTTAATATGTTCGCTTCCCTGATAATAGAATTTTGTCTTCAACACTTATGGCAAAATGTATGAGGAATGCATAACTAATAGATGAAGATCTTAATGGTCTTTCATTTGCTACTGCATTATTTCATAAAGATACCTGCTAATGTTCCTGTCTTTGAAGGTTTATGTGTTTGGAAGGGAAATAATGTTGTATTATGTTCCATTGCATTTGTTTATTTACTCATTTAAGGTATGTTTATTGAGCACCTGTTCCATAGTTTATAGCTATTTTATCAGTGTCTTCCTTTTTTTCTTAAAGTTCTCTTAAGTACTTTCAGTATGTCTCTGTGTATGACTCTGTTTCTCTCAGAAGGTGGACTTGTTTTGCCCAGATTCACCCATTTTTAACTCCAATTGACTAATGTGTGCATCCCTCATAGCAATGAATTAGCAGAGAAAAGGGTAGGATTAAGAAAAATTATTCAGGTTCTCATAGCTTTGAGATTGTTCTTTGTTCTTAGACCAATAGGTTAATAAATCAATATTGGACAAATTATACACTGAAATGTTTTCAAGTGTGAATTCTCCTTTTAAAATTAATTTAATTCAATTTCATATCTTTTAACTAAGTATTAGATTTTACTTTTATAGTCATTAGAGATTGTAATAAGGATTTCTCTTTGTTTTATATTCTCTTACACTAAGTAATATAGCCACAGACCCTTCTTGAGTTTTCTGTCCAAAGTAATGATGATGAACAAGGACAAAGTCCAGATTATTTGTAGCACTTTCTGTTGTAGATGGTTAACGTAGGAAACTCAACTTGTTATAGTTTCGAAAAATATATTTTGGGTTGATATGTGTCATATACAAAACTATATTAAATATTTTTTCACATAACTTGTTTATTTAAATTATAACTGTTTTTTTTTTTGTTAACCGACCAAAATGTTGTTGGCATATCTAACTACTTAGTTACTGTGTCTGAATTTTCAGAGTATGCATGGGGAAAATGGGAATCTTTGGCCATTCAAGAGAAAGGATAATTTCCTTCTACATCTCTTGTCAGATTACACATGTCCAAACCTATGCTGTGACCTGTGTGGCTAGAGAGAACAAGACCTGAGTAGGGGCAATGGGAGATTAAGGAAAAGACACAGAGATATTATACAAGTAAAATTGGGATCAGGTGGGACAGTGCTCTCGATGGAGAGACAGTGACTCAGAGCTAGTGCAGCACATTTATTATATACAGCATGATACCAGGAAGTTTTACTAGAGTTTAAGAAGCAGGAAATTATGTTAAATCATGCTTAAAGATTAAGCTGCATTCTTTGTTCTTGAGGCTTCTTAATCTTGTCAGGCCTGGATGAACCCAGATAATAGCATCCGCCCCTGGTGCCTGAGTGAGCCTAGATAATAGCATCTACCCTTGGTGCCTGAGCTAAAGGTCAGGACTGACAAACATTCCTCACCTTTGGCAAGGTATGTTTCCATAGAGTGGATTTGCTGACTGCTTCAGTGATTCAGCTGAGGACCTTTGCTTAGGTGCTCTCCCAGGTGCTCTCCACACAAACCACCACTTGAAGCCTTACAAGACAGCAGGGTCCAGGTGCAGGCTGAAGCACATGCTTTGGGTACTTGGTAGAAGAATGATCTGGGATATGTTCTCCACACAGCTCTTCACTAGCAGCACTGTCCTTTCAAAAATGGTGTGACTTTTAAATTTAGGTGGAAGTTACTAGTTTAAAGAAATGGAGCTGGTAAAAGTGTTTTTTAAAAAACATCTTTTAGCCGAACCGGTTTGGCTCAGTTGATAGAGCGTTGGCCTGTGGATTGAAAGGTCCCAAGTTCGATTCCCAGTCAAGGGCATGTACCTTGGTTGCGGGCACATCCCCAGTAGGGGGTGTGCAGGAGGCAGCTGATCGATGATTCTCTTTCATCATTGATGTTTCTAACTCTGTATCCCTCTCTCTTCCTCTCTGTAAAAAAATCAATAAAACAAAAACAAAAAAAAACATCTTTTATAGCTTAAATATATACTTCTTTTTACTCTTTTTAACCAAATGAGGAGTATTAGGCTTCATATCTATTCAAAATATCATTTATAAATACACCCTTAAATATAAGATTTATATATCCACTGCCTTTAAAAAGGTTTACACTTTTTCAACAGCTAATGAAGGGAAATATTTGCTATCCAGCTTGCCTTTATGTGAGTTTTATTTAACCAGTAAAGATTGATATATTCCTAAAGAGAATATAATATAGCACAGAAGGTATATAAAATATATGAACTAAAAAAAGGTATAAATATTGATAATATTGAGTGATATTCTATTTTTCTGTGTCAGAAATCAAATTTTCCTGAAACAGTGAATTCTCTCTTTTAAATTTCCCCAATGTATAATGGGGAAGATATCCTATGGTTTTCCTACTTGTTTGTTCTGATTACATCCCTTTAGTTCCATATACTTTTCTTTATAATCTATTGCTGTGGGAATTTAATCTATTTTTAAAAAATTCTTCTCTCATGTGAATAAGAAGACTGTCTAACATCACTCATGTAATATATATTTAAATTCTATTAGGATAATGTTTATATTTTTCTTCTTGTGTTTTTTTTTTCCCCTCATGGGCCTGAAATTTTGTAACTCTATAGACTCCTGTCCATTCCTTCCTATAAATCTTACCATAAAATATTTTTCTTATGACTTATATACAGATTCTAATGATTGACCAATCTAATTCAAGGACAAAGGATAGTATTTTCATGGTCTCATAGAAAGAATGAGATACTGGCATTAGACAGATCAGGATTTACACCTGAGCTTGGCACACTCTTTTGTTGTGTGACCCTGAGAAAGTTTTTTCCCCGAGCCTCCGGGTGATGGGGATTCCTGCTTCAGGGGGTTTCTGTGAGGATTAGAAAAAAAAGTGTATGTAACATGATGCCTGGCTTATAGAAGGCTAGTTTTCCTTTCCACAAATATTAGTTTACCTTTCCTCTGGTTCTTCTATGTCATATTTTGAGAACAGAAAATTAAGGGTGCTGTTTAAATATTCTCATGATAGCCATTCTACATACATGACACGTGTTCTGCACCAAATTCACTATTTAAACTGAAGAATTAACTCCAGACTTGTGTTCTCACAATTGCTTTGACAATTATCATTTGCCATGCCACTACCCTGTGATCTAATTGTTAGTTTATATGGTGGGAAATTCTATTAAGTATTCCTCTTCTCCATCATTGATAGGTTCCATGAGGCGTTCATTCAGTTGCCCTCGGTCCATCTCTTCTCAATCACCTTGTAGTGCAGACATCCGCCCTCTTTCTGCTCAACAAACGATGTCAGCATCCCGGACAACTTCATCGTGTCGGTCACATTCCCTAAACCGTGCTTCCTCCTACACGAGGCATCTGCCTCATAATAACGATGCCAGCTCTAACTTTCAAGTGGTAAGTCATCTACTTTGCTCCTTTTGAGATTACAGGAAGCATTGTACTAAGATTTAGGTGGAAAAGGGTTAAGCTAGAAAGAAGATAGATGGAACCCCATTATTCAACTCACGGTCTCCAGGATTTTGGATTGCTGAATCTCTTTAGCTTATCACTTAGTATGATCTCTTACAAGGCAGACCAGAATATCAAAGAACTTTAGAATGAATACTGTGAATAGCATTTTATTTTCCACTTGCTTATATAGTTGGTAATTTTGTTGAAAATCACCTAAGGAAATATATGATTTTATAGTGTACTAGAGGCCCGGTGCACAAAATTCATGCACAGGAGCAGGGGGTGTCCCTCAGCGCAGCTTGCACCCTCTCCAATCTGGGACCCCTCGAGGGATCGGTTCTAAATGGGCAGTCAGACATCGCTCTCACAATCTCGGACTGCTGGTTCCCAACTGCTCACCTGCCTGCCTTCCTGATTGCCCCTAACTGCTTCTGCCTGCCAGCTTGATCACTCCTAACCACTCTTATGCTAGCCAGATTGATATATAACTGCTCCCCTGACAGCCTGTTTGCCCCCAACTTCCCTCCTCTGCCGGCCTAATTACTCCTAACTTCCCTCCCCTGTAGGGTTGATCACCTCCAACTGCCCTCCCTTGCAGGCTTGGCCCCTCTCATCTGCCCTCCCTTGCAGGCCTGATCACCCACAACTACCCTCCCTTGCAGGCCTGTTCCCTCCCAACTGCCTTCCCCTGCTGGCCATCTTGTGGTGGCCATCTTGTGTCCACATGGGGGCAGGATCTTTGTCCACATGTGGGCACCCATCTTGTGTGTTGGAGTGATAGTCAATCTGCATACCCTTTTATTAGATAGGATAGAGGCCTGGTGCATGGGTGGGGGCCAGCTGGTTTGCCCTGAAGGGTGTCCCTGATCAGGGTCGGGTTCCCTTGAGGCATGGGGTGGGCTGGATGAGGGGCTTGTGGTGGTTTGCAGGCCAGCCAAGGCCCCTTGCGACCCAAATAGAGGCCCTGGTGTCTGGAATTTATTTATCTTCTACAATTGAAAGTTTGTAGCCTGGAGCGGAGCCAAGCCTCCTGCTTGCTCTGTGGCTGCTGCAATTTTTATTTGGATTTGTTTACCTTCTATAATTGAAACTTTGTATCCTCGAGTGTAGGCCTGGGCTAGCCAGGGTGTGTGGAAAGCTTGCCTTCCTCCCGGGAAACTCAAGCCTCCCTCCTGATAGCCATCTTGGTTGGGTTCATTTGCATACTCACTCTGTCTGGTGGGCGCGGCTTGTGGGTGTAGCAGAGTGATGGTTAATTTGCATATTACTCTTTTATTAGGTAGGATTATGCAGTATATTTGAAAATTTGGAGAAATTTGTTATGTAGAATTTTTAATGAGTATTGATTAATAGTTTAAAAAGTAAACAATTGACAAATTATCCTTAGAGTACTGAAATACAACATTGTTTATGTTTTCTGTATATTAAATTAACATATAGTATTCCCTCCTTAGCAAGAATCCCAGAAGTTCAGTATTGAATAAGTCAATGAATTTATTTGGCTATCAGACTTGTAGATACTCAAATAGATAATGCCAAGTATATTCACAAAAACTAGACTTTTATTTAATTTGTTTATTTACTGTGGATGATCCAATGAAAGCGTCTGGAAAATATAAGCGAATGAGTTTCACTTGTTAACGAGTGATTTTTTTCTTTTTTCCTAATTAAGAATTGCCGAAGATATAAGTGGTGCCTCACACAACGAACTTAATTCGTTCCAGGAGCAAGTTTGTTATGCGAAAAGTTCGTTATGTGAAACGCGTTTTCCCATAACAATACATGTTAAAAAAAATAATTCGTTCTGTAGCATAAAATATGCTAAGATGACATAAAAAAAGATAAATTTTTTGTTATTATTTTTATTTAGATACATCTAAAAACATAATTAAAAAAAAAAAACACACATTTTTTTAATTTTAAGACAGACTAAGTAGAGTCTACCGAATCTTGCACATCTTCATCCATTTTCTGCTTTTTGGCCGATGGTTTCATGAAAAACCTGAAATCACCTTCCTGCTTTTTTTAGAAGCCATGATATAAAAAAAATATTGAGTTTAACTTAAAAGGACGACTGCCGTGATACGTGCGTGATTTAATTCGTAATGAAGAACGATTGCCGCGATACGTGCTTAAGTTAAGCGCAGTGACTAACGACTGCCTGCAGTGCCTGCGCGGAAGGATGCAATACATCGGCAGCGATCGTGGAAGCTCGGGCGAAGCAGTCGTGGAAGCTCGGGCAAAGCGGTCGTGGAAGCTCGGGCGACTTCGTTGTGTGAAACGAAGTTCGTTGTATGAATCATGAAACGAAGTTCGTTGTGTGCAGCGTTCGCTGTGCGAGGCGTTCTTTATGCGAGGCACCACTGTATGTAATAAGTGAAACTTTTGACCTGGAAGTTTTTTTTTAACCATTCATATTTATTTTTTAATATTTTGAGCTAAATAAAATGCACTGTGTGGAAGTATAAAAGATATTATTGGGAAATCATGTCCACTTAATCCTAAGAATTGAATTCTAAGAATAAATGTAAAAATTTTTTCTTCTGCCTTTTTCATTTTTTTATTTTTCCAATTAAAAGTGCATTGTTTTTACCTAGAAATATCTTTCAGACTATAGTGGCACAATGAAATAAGACCCCCTCCAAATATCTGTATTCTTTCAAATTTAAGAGTGAGTCTTTGCGGCAACCGAAAACAAAAGAACAAGAAGAGGATCTAACAAGTCAGACCTTATTTGTTCTCAAGGACATGAAAATCCGTTTTCCAGGGAAATCAGATGCAGAATCACTACTTCTGGTGGAAGATGTGAGTATTTGACATGTATAAAATTCCAAGGACCTCATTTAAAAAAAATATATATATATATTTTATATAGAGAGGAAGAGAGAAAGATAGTTAGAAACATCTATGAGAGAGAGACATCGATCAGCTGCTTCCTGCACCCCCCCCTCCCACTGGGAATGTGCCTGCAACCAAGGTACATGCCCTTGACTGGAATCGAACCCGGGACCCGTCAGTCCGCAGGCTGAAGCTCTATCCACTGGGCCAAACTGGTTTCGGTGGGAGCTCATTCTTTTTATTCTGCTTAGAATATTAACATTTATTTACCCATGGAGGCATTCTCAGTGTCATAGTAAATTTAACTGATGTTCTCTTTAACCTCCTCAAGCTGCAGAAAATACAGGGGCTATTTGAATTATTACTATTCATGAGCAGTGAGATTACCTTTATAATTAGCAATGCAAAATACCTTTTAGTTCATTGTCCTATTTTAATGATGTAACCAAGCAAAAATGATTTATGTTATTCAATTATTGCTCTTAATGTTTAAAGAACTATCAAGTTAAAGTTGGTTCTCTAAAGATTTAGAAAGATCTAATATCGAAGTGATATGTAATAAAAAAAAAAAGTAGACTTTGGGGATAAAGTATCAAGAATGTGATACCATGAATGATTTTGGTTAAATTTTGAAGTGGCTTATGCAGTGTTTTTCTTGTTACATACACATTTGCACCACCCAGTGGAACATTCTAAAATGGCAGAGTCCTAAAATTCACACTAAACTCAATGACTTTAACTTATTAGAAAGGTCCACGTTATTTAAATATTTTGGTGAAAAAACATTTAATTTAAAGTTCTATGTCTTCATTCAAACATTCTTTTCAAATTGCTGTTCATAGATAATTCCTCAATAATAGAACTTTATTTTCAGGTTTCCCTAATATTACTTTTTTTCCCAGTGGCGAGGGCACCATCTAGTGGCCAGTTGTAAGATAAAAACCACAGATATGCACTGGCCTTTTTTTCACTTTTTAGCATTAAGTTTGTCTAAAGCAACTATCTAGAAACAAATACCAAAACAAGTAATAAAAACGACTTTATTAGTTTAAAAAATCAATCATGGATATTTCTATTTTGTAATCATGATATAGTTGTAACCAAAACCTCCAAATATTTTGCATTGTGTTATTATATATTTAAAAAAAAGTAAAAATAGCATCTTGTCTGCAGATGAGCTGCTATTTGTTACATCAAGGGAAAAGGAATACAAATTGATATTAGTTGTAAGTCACTATGATAGACATGCTTTTATTTATATGTTATCTTATTTAATCAAGTTCTTTTCTAAATATAGCCAATGACTTTGTACCAGATAGTTTGCTTTGATTTCTTAGCTATATTAATAAGATACCATCGTTTTAAATCATGTAGAAGAAAAAATGATCAGAGAGTAGAACTAATATTTGTGGATAATGTGATTGTTTTATTAAAAAACATATGGGTTTACATAATTAATAACTAATAATTAGATCATTACTCAGATTATTTACTATATGTTCACTATATGCAGCAAATATTTTAATCTATTTGTTACAGTATATATTACTAGAATATATATTCAGAAATTTTTCAGATTTGACAAAAAAAAAAGGGATAATAGAATCCTAGTTATATATAGGCTATCTTCTATGTATTATTCAGTATTCTGTTATTATGGGTGATATGGTTTTGAAATTAAAATGGAAAATCTACTTCAAACCTTATATGCCTAAAGACATTTTACTTTCACTTATTATAGACTCTATGCTTTTTATAGCAAGAAGCAAAAAATTTGGATTCAGATGGCTTCTTAACCTTATGTTAGAAATCCTTTTTAGTAAAGCAGATATTCTTTAAAAAACATATTTTATTGATTTTTTACAGAGAGGAAGGGATAGGGATAGAGAGTTAGAAACATTGATGAGAGAGAAACATCGATCAGCTGCCTCTTGCACATCACCTACTGGGGATGTGCCCGCAACCAATGTACATGCCCTTGACCGGAATCGAACCTGGGACCTTTCAGTCTGCAGGCCAACGCTCTATTCACTGAGCCAAACTGGTCAGAGCTAAACTAGACATTCTTTATTGCAAGTAATATTATAGTGCTTTCATTTCACAAATTCAGTACTAAAACCAGTTTCAACCCATTTATTTACTTTTTTACTTTTTACTTTTGAGGAACATTCTCGATTAAATTTCTTAATGTCTCTCCCCCATGACAGATCCTTGATAACTGGAAGCTTCATAAAACAAAAGTGGCTTCATATTGGCTCATAAAATTGGACTCTGTAAAACAACGAAAAGTGAGTAATACTTCAAAGCGAGTTTTCCCTTTTAGATCGTCTTGAACTTGAATGATTAAGCCACATTCATAGTCAAACTATATACATATATGTATTTGTTTACTCATCTTTTCAATAAATATTAATTGCATACCTGCTGTTATAGGCACTGTCCTAGATTCTGAGGATAAAAAAGTGAATTAAAAAACACACACAAACTATGGTCTCAGAGAGCTTACAAAAACTTGAGAGGAACAGGTTCAAGAGTAAAAGACAGAGAAGAAGAAAACAGCTAGTACTGGCATTCTTTGCAAGGAATTTTGCTGTAGAAGGGAACAGGGATGGGGGTTAATGACAAGTTTCCTTTAAAGTTGAAGAGATTTAGCCCTGGCTGGTGTAGCTCAGTTGGTTGTTCTTTGCACCACAAGGTCGCAGGTTCATTTCCCATCAGGGCACATGTCTAGGTTGTGGGTTCCATCCCGGGGGCTCAGGCAGGAGGAATTGATTGATATTTCTCATTTCTCTCTCTCTCGCTTTTATTCTCTCTCACTCACTTGGACCATATCTAAAAAAGAAATCAATAGCATGAACTCGGGTGAGGACTAATAATAATAATAATAATAATAATAAGATGAAGAGACTTACAGTTTGTGTGCTGATGAGAATGATCTAGTGGAGAGGAAAGAGAGGTGACAGAAAGTCCATGAGTAAGTAAGTGGGGGAGGTTTGTCCTAACAGGAGCATTAATTCTAATTATCTAATAGGAGGGAAGGCAGAGACCATGGCAGTGTAGTGAGAAGATGTGAGGGCTTTAGAGATTTGAGCAGGCAGTGGAAAGTATGTAATAGCTATCTTGGAGAGTAGGAGGTGAGTGAGGCCAGCAGTCTGAGGGGCCATCAAATGCATTGCAACATTATTTTGGGGGAGAGATACAATTTTAATAGCTTTAGTGATAATGTTGTGTTCCTTTAGTAATGCAAGCTATTATTTCCCCTTTCTAGGATTTACTGCAATAAGATGAAAGTTGACACTAATTAAGTGATAACTTACATATTGTCATCTGAGTAACTGAACTCACTATTATAGTAACACACTCAACAAAGAATTGCTTGGTGTTCTGGCATGTGCCAAATATTGTACTGCTGTTGAGGAGGGTATAACAAAGCTGGTAACAGAGGTAGATTGCAAAACACATTACAAACCCTGAATAGATTTTTGCCAAATCACCAACTGTGGCCTTGCTTGATTAAAATACTTTTTTTTTTTATTAGAATAAGTGTCCTGAATTTTCTAAAGTCCATGTACTTTTTGTAATCTAGAAGTTAGAATAGTGTAGGTAAATTGCTGATTAAAACAAAACAATCTAGAAACAGATTAAAGAATTTATAAGATATTAACACATGATAAATGTGACATTTCAGATCAGTGGAGAAAAGATAATTGTTCCCCTAAATGATACTGAAACAATTGAGTACCTATTTGTAAGAAAATTAAGTTGTAGCCTTATCTCTTACCATATACAAAAATAAATTTCAGATGACAATTTTATGTGTAAAAAAGAAAGTTTTAAAAGAAAACATAGAAGGATCTCTCTATATATAAAAGCCTAAGTGACCGTTACAACCGAACAACTGGGACAACCAGAACGACCTGTTGCTATGATATGCACTGACCACCAGGGGGCACATGCGGAATGCAGGAGTGCTGCTCAGCTGACAGACCCATCCCAGTGGCCCAACAGCCTGGCTCAGTAGTCCTGCAGGTCCAATCTCCAGAGAATGGGCCAGGCACCAATGGACCAGCACCGCTGGCAGGATCCCAACAGTGCTGCTGGCCTCCTGGAAGTTAGCCTCAGGCATCACAGCCACTTCCTCTCCCTGGATGCTCTGCAAGGAAGAAAGAATATAAAAGCAGCCACCAGGTGGCTCCTGACAACTGGCATGAATGTCAGCGGAATGGATCTGGATCCCCAATAGGCAAGGGCATCTGGAAGGCCAATCTTGTCCTGCCCCTGCATGCTTTGGGATACCACCTGTGCATGAATTTGTGCACCAAACCTCTAGTATATATTTATAATCTTAGAATGGAAAATAATGTCTAAAGAAAGACCTAAAACTCAAAAATATTTTAAAAAAGATAGACATATTTGATTACATAAAAACTTACCAATGGCAAAAGATTCCTTAAACCAAGCCGAAAGGCAGAAGCAGTGAGGAAGAAGGGGGTATTTGCAGCACATAAAACACAAGCACCAGTAAACTAACATCACCTATGAATCAATGAGCAAAAGAAACTATCCTGTAAATATTAATAAATAAAATGGCAAGTGTATAAAAAGGCTATGAAAAGACAATTTATGGATCTTCAAATAGCCAATTCATGTATAAAGTGATGCTTGGCCTCACTAATGATGAAAGAAAAGCAAGTAAAAACCATCATATTGGCAATAATTAATAAGAGAGATGATATCCAGTCAATGAAATAATGTGGATAAAAGGCTTTTACCAAACAATTAGAGGGAGAATACATTGGTATAACCTTTTAGAAAGATAATTTGCACTACCTATTAAAATGATAGGTGTTCGTAACCTAATGACTCAGCAAAACCACTTGCAGAACTCTATACTACAAAAGAATTGTTGAGTGAGAGTCTTTGAGTAGGCAGGAAGAGCTTCTAGCCTGCAATGTAGGTCTGACACCTGTGAGTGAAAGGCAGAAGGGTGGAGTATGAAGACCCTTAGACTTTGGTGAACTTCTGAGAAAGCCCTGGGCAGCTGATGGGGATCCCAGAACAAAGACTGCTTTTCTGGGGATCAAACTGGGCAGACGTAGTCCATTGCTGGAAACCAACCCGGTTGGATCCTTGGCCAGGAATAGTCCGGGAGAGCATAAGCGGGCTTGAGTGTTGTAGTGAACCTGAATGGAGATGCTGTCAGCTAACTTCACTCTTGGGAACAAGTTAATTCAAATGGCAGGTCTCCATGGCTGCCACAAAGGCTGTGTGGGGTGTGATTTAAGTTGACAAACATTTATTGGTTGTCAATTTTGTGCATGAATGATAATATTGGGGATTTGCAGAGTTGTTTCTTCATTTATTTAATTGTGTATTCAACCATGCATTGAACAAGATTAATTGAAGGACTACCACGTCCTGTGCACCATGCTAGGTGTGGAATGCACAAGACTCATAAAAATCTTTTCATTCCATTTAGAGATCATTGTTAAAATATGTGTCTCACTGTTTCTGTTCCAGGATCTAAGCATTTGCTGGTTGCTCATTAGAATGTTGTAAAACTCTTAGATAAGAATGCCATACACAGGAGCTCTTTCACATGCCTTATTTCAAAGTTCCCTTAATGGGTGTAAAATGTAAAGGTCAAGGATGTAGGGATTAAATACTGAAAAGAATCCTCACCAGGTGAAAATGGAAACAGCTAATCTTACTAAATGCCATGTTATGGTAATTTCACACTTGCATAATTTAGCTTTCTGCCAATAATGCAGTTGCTTTATATAGTTTGTAAGGAATATATGAAGTATGAAAATATTGCAGTGTTGTGTTTTGTGAAAAATGCCAAATTTGCTAAGAAGTTTCATCTTTAGGCATAAACTAAGATTGGAGAATGAAGAGAGATAAGTAGTGATATTAACATGGTAGTATATTTGCATTTATTTTAGGGTTCTAAGAGATCTTTGTTTATCAAGTACTTTTTTCTCTAAACAACTATTTTTCTTTCATACCTACTGTAGCTGCCTCTGCATGCATTTTGGTGTTATTATTTTCCTTCTCTTTTTATTTTTTATTTATTTTTTATTTGGGCTACCATAGATGCTACAAAGAGCTGTTGGTTTTGCACCAGCAAAGATGCCTTTACCCCATAGCCATGGCTGCTGCATGCATTATTAATACAGCATGTAGTAATGTTAATGTTACTTCTAATCCTCCTCATCTCATGCCATTATTTTAATTTAGGACCAACTGTTCAGCCATATGGAGCAGTTTGTCATTCAACATCTGCACGTTCTTGTAAAAAATATAAATTTGTGTCTGTGCTTTATGCCTTCAAATGTGCTATATTTCTTATGGAAAATACACATCTTTTCATGTTATTAATTCTTTCATTGACTGAGTCTTCCATTTACTTTTTCCCTTGGAGAACTTAATATTGGATTGGAATGTTTTTAAAAGTCACAGTGTTGGAAATGGATGCCCATGTTCTGTAGGTTTGCCTCACTTGAATCCACAGGTAAACACAAATGGCACCTTGCTGATCATTTGTTTTAGTGTTTCAAAAAAATTTTTTTTTTAATTTTCCATCCACTTTCTTCTAACTCAGAGGTCTAAAAGAGCATTGCAAAAAGAACCTATACTGATTTACCTCACCTCAGCCTGCCTTTCTAAACTTATTTAGCGAGTGTTTTACTAAAGGTACAGTCCTTGTCTTCCCATCAAGATGGTCTTTTAAACAAGCTAGCCCTTGCACTAAGGCCCCAATGGAGGGAGTGTCTAGGCAACCTTGTTTATACACAACAATCCCACCCAAGTTCCCAAGTATTTCTTAACTGGAGGTGAATTTGAATCTTAGAAGAGACCATTTGGTTCTCTCCTAGGGTAGTATTCTATTGTGTAAATGTACTACAGCTGTTTTATCCACTCATCTACTGATGGGCGCTAGAGATGCTTCCAAATGTTGGCTGTAAATAGCACTTTAATGAACATAGGCGTGGATATACTTTTGATCAGTGTTTTGGATTTCTTTGGATACATTTCCAGAAGTGGAACTGCTGCGTCATAAGGCAGTTCCATTTTTAATTTTTTGAGGTAACTCCATATTGCTTTCCACAGTGGCTGCACCGGTCTGCATTCCCACCAGCAGGGCACCAGGGTTCTCTTTGCTCCACACCCTCGCCAACACTTGCTGTTTATTGATTTATTGATGATAGCCATTCTGACATGTGTGAGGTGCTATCTACTGTGGTTTTAATTTGCATTTTTCTGATGATTAGTGATGTTGAACTTCTTTTCATATGCCTACTGGCCATTTGTGTGTCCTCTTTGGAGAAGTGTCTCTTCAGGACCTTTGCCCATTTTTAAAAATTGAATTGTTTGTTTGTTTTTTGGTGTTGAGTTGTATATGTTTCTTTTTTTATATACATAAATTTTGGATATTAACTCCTTATCAGCTGCATCCCTGATGAATATGTACTCCCTTTCAGTGGGTTGTCTTTTCAAAAGTTTTGTCTGTGCAAAACCTTTTTTATTTTAATGTAGTCCCAGTTGTTTATTTTTTCTTTTGCTTCCCTTGCCTGAGGTGATAGATCAAGAAAAAAAATATTGCTATGAGATATATACCTCCTCTGTTTTCTTCTAGGATGTTTATGGTTTTGAGTCTAACATTTAAGTCTTTAATCCATTCTGAGCTTATTCTTAGGTATGGTGTAAGAAGGTGGTCTGTTTTCTTTTTCTTTTCTTTTTTCTTTCTTTCTTTCTTTCTTTCTTTTTTTTTTTTTTTTTTTGCACTTATCTGTCAATTTTCCCAACCTATTTATTGAATAGACTTTGTTTACCCCATTATATGTTTTTGGCTCCTTGTCAAATATTAATTGACCATAAAGACATGAGTTGATTTTTGGGCTCTCTGTTCTGTTCTATTACTCTGTATGTCTGTTTTTATGCCAGTAGCATGCTGTTTTGATTACTATGACCTTTTAGTATAGTTTGGTATTAAGTAGCATGATTCTTGCAACTTTGTTCTTTTTTAAGGTTGCTGTGGTTATTCAGAGAATGTTGTGGTTTCATATAAATTTTTAGAATATTCTAGATTTCTTTGGGCCGTATGGGCTTTTTTTTTTTTTTTAATATATATTTTATTGAATTTTTACAGAGAGGAAGAGAGAGGGATAGAGAGTTAGAAACATTGACGAGAGAGAATCATCAATCAGCTACCCCCTGCACACCCTCCACTGGGGATGTGCCGCAACCAAGGTACATGCCCTTGACCGGAATCGAACCTGGGACCTTTTGGTCCACAGGCCGACGCTCTATCCACTGAGCCAAACTGGTTTCGGCAGTATGGGCTTTTTAATGGTGTTAACTCTTCGTATGCATCAACATGGTATATGTTTCCACTTATTTGTATCTCCTTCTGTTTTTTTCTTCAGTATCTTGTAATTTTCTGAGTACAGATGCTTTACACCCTTGGTTAAATTTATTCTTAGTATTTTTTTTTGAAGCAATTGTGAATAGGATTCTTTTCTGAGTTTTCCTTTCTGATAGTTCATTGTTGGTGTATTAAAATGCAACTGATTTCTGGGTATTTAATTTGTATCCTGCTGCTTATTGTGTTCATTTATCAGTTCTAGTAATTTTTTTTTTGGTGAAATCTTTAGGGTTCTCTATATTCTGTATTATGTCATCTGCAAATAATGACAGTTTTACTTCTTTTCCAACTTGGATGCTTTGTATTTCTTCTTCTTGTCTTATTGCTATGGCTAGGTCTACTCGTACTAAGTTGAATAAAAGTGGCAAAAGTGGACATCCCTGTCTTGTACCTGATCTTAAGGAAAACACTTGTAGTTTTTGCCCAGTGAGTATGATGTTGGCTGTGAGATTGTCATGTTGTGTCTTGATTACATGGAAATATGTTCCCTGCATTCCCACTGCTGAGTGTTTTTATCATAAAAGTGTGCTAAATTTTATCAAATTTATCAAATGAATATATTGATATGATCATGTGGATTTTATCTTTCAATTTATTTGTGTGGTGTATCACGTTTATTGACTTGTGAATATTGTACCAACTTTGCATCCCCAGAATAAATCCCACTTGATTGTGGTGTATGTTCTTTTTGATGAGTTGCTAAACCCAGTTTACTAATATTTTGTTGAGGATTTTAGCATCTATGTTTAACAGGGTTATTAGCCTATAATTTTTTTTCTTTGTAGTGTCCTTGTCTGGTTTTGGAATTGGGATAATGCTGGCTTCATAAAAGGAGCCTGGGAGTCTTCCCTCCTCTTGGATTTCCTTGAAATAGTTTGAAAAGGTTAGGTGTTAGTTCTTCTTTGAACGTTTGGTAAAATTAACTAGTGAAGCAATCCAGTCAAGAACTTTTGTTTGTTGGGAGTTTTTAAATTACTGCTTTAATTTCACTATTGTAAACTGTCAATCCTCTGTCCAGATTCTCTGATTCATCCTGAGTCAGTTTTGGAATATTGTAGGTTTCTAGGAATTTATCTATTTTGTCCAGATTGTCCAATTTGTTGTCATAGTTGTGGTAACATTTTCTTACAATCCTTTGCATTTATTTTGTGTCAGTTGTTATTTCTCCCCTTTCATTTTTTATTTTATTTATTTGGGTCCTCTTATTTATTTATTTATTTATTTATTTTTTTTCCCTAGAGGAGTCTGGTTAAAGGTTTGCCAATCTTGTTTATCTTTTCAAAGAACCAGATCTTGATTTCACTAATCTTTTGTATTGTTTTTTTAGACTTTATTTTGTTTATTTCTGCTCTGATCTTTATTATTTCCTTCCTTCTACTCACTTTAGGTTTTTTTTCCCTCCCAAGTTCCTCTAACTGTAAAATTAGATTATTTATTTGATATTTTTCTTGTTTCTTGAGATAGACCTATAATACTACAAATTTCCCTCTGAGGACCGCTTTCACTGTGTCCCATAGATTTTAGGTTGTTGTGTTCTCATTTGTATTTGTTTTATGGTATCTTTTGATTTCTTTCTTGATATTATTGTTAATCTATTCATTGTTTAGAAACATGTTATTTAGCCTCCATGTATTGTGTTTCTTCAGATTTTTTTTCTTGTGATTGATTTCTGGTTTCATACCATTATGGTCAGAGACGATGCTTGATATGATCTCAATCTTCTTAAATTTATTGAGACCTGTTTTTGTGTCCTAATATGTGGTCTATCCTAGAAAATGTTCCATGTGCATTTGAAAAGAATGTATATTCTGCTGCTTTGGGGTGAAAGGCTCTGAAGATACCAATTAAATCTATCTGATCAAGTGTGCCATTTAAGGCCACCATTTCCTTGTTGATTTTCTGTCTGGAAGATCTATTCATTGTTGTTAATGGCGTGGTATAATTAATTACTGTGATCGTATTACTGTCAGTCTCTTCCTTTATGTCCTTCAAGATTTGCTTTACATATTTAAGTGTTCCTATGTTGGGTGCATAAATGTTTATAAAGGCTAAGCCCTCTTATTGGATTAAATTTAATCTTCTTAACTACAGTGGTCTGACTTGTCATCTATGTCATATATGAAATTTCATGAATACATTAATGTACTTGTTTTTATTTATTATTTATTTAGGTCTTTTTAAAAAAATTTGTGGACTTTTTAATCTGTGCTTTTGTTCAGTTATGAGTGATTGTGTGTGTAATCTTTAGATTATTTTACAAGCTTTCAAATGTTGAAAGCATTTTTCCATATTACATTTATTTTCCAAATAAAATAAATTAATAATTTTTTTTAATCTTTGACTTTGAGACACACACAAATACGCCTAGATTTTGCAATATTTTTCCCCCCACTAGGTTTTGGATATAGTGAAAACAAGTATTCGCACAACCCTTCCACGCATCTGGAAGGTGGTTGATGTCGATGAACTACCTTTATATCGGATTTTTAACCGGGTTTTTAATCGCTTACTCTGGAGTCATGGCCAAGGACTATGGAACTGTTTCTGTGATTCAGGGTAAGTTCTAAGTTATCTTTTATTATTGTCATTTAAAATATTTTATGGTTAGCTATAAAAGTAGCTCAATAAACAGATAGAATTTCTTTTTAAAAATATATTTTTATTGATTCCAGAGAGGAAGGAAGAGAGAGAGATAGAAACATCAGTGATGAGAGAATCATTGATTGGCTGCCTATTGCAGGCTCCCTACTGGGATTGTGCCCACAGTCTAGGCATATGCCTTGACTGGGAATCAAACATGACTCTTGGTTCATAGGTTGACACTCAACCACTGAGCCATACCAGTTTGGAAAAGATTGAATTTCTTTAATAATCTCTTAAAATGTTAATTACTCAGCTATAATTTATAGCAGTTAAACTGACTTATTTGAGATGATTAATATGACAACACCACCTAACTAATCTGGATTCAGGATTCAGGGAAGAGAGGTGGTCTTAATGAAAATCTCAAAATCTGTAAGGTTCTTCTACTGTTGCCTCTATGTAGCAAATTTTGAAAATTATGGCTCTATTTAGACCGCTCCTCTTCAGAATTTCAGTCCTGCCATACTTGTTATGACTCATTATCATTTTAGCCTTGTGATGATATCTAAAGCCAAACATATCATAACACTCTTTTATTAATAAATGACTTTCCTCTTGGACCTCTCTTAATTCTTTTGTATGCTCCCAATCGTACAGGTTAATATCTCAGGAACTCCTGCATCTTCCTTTTCTTTCACTTCCTTTTCCAGCCATCTGCTAAATCCTGTTAGTTTTTCTGTCACATTCCCACTGGCTGCTCTAGATTGTTTTTCATCATTCTTAACAATTATTAAGTACTTACTTCCTACTGTGTTAAATAGTTTTGGAGATAAAAAGTTGAATCTAACATAGATTTGATCCTCAAGAAACTTAAAAAAAAAAGTTAATAGCTGACACCATACAACTTACAATGTGCCAGGCACAGTTCTAGACACTTTACATGTATTAACTGATTAAATCCTCATAACTTGACTTTGAAACAAGTTCTCTGATTTTTATCTCTTTCATAAACAAGGAAACTGAGTCACGGTTAGTTGATAATGACTTAGTACCCTGGGATTCAAACTCAGGGCGCCTGGCCCCAGAGTTTGTGCTCTTAAGCAATAATCTCTGTGGTCGAAGTAGCACTGCTAGTGGTCGCTAAGCACCAGGGCAGGTGGAGTGGGAGTAGCTTTGAACCCATTTCTTTATAAACTTGGTGGTTTGAAGAGGTGGGTTTAATACTAGATTTTATTTTGCAGCTTTACAAATGAGTTTCTTAGGGCTCCTCAATTTTATGAAACCACGTGGTGGTGTGTGTTTGATTTTCAGTTTGGACCCAGAATAGTTCTACTTATATTTAGGTCATATCTAGTCAATGTATAATCCTTTAACTTTGGCCTAACAGCCTAGTAATCAGGGTAACACTGTACTCTTAGCTCAGTTCTGAAGGAATTATTTTAATAAAGCACTCAGCTCTTTCACAGTTAGGTGTAAAATCTTGGAAAAATATAATTCGAATAACTGTGCATCAACTTGATTACTGCCTCTATCTGTCAACACCTTAATAATGAAACAATAAATAAATAAATCATTCCTTTTCCACATCCAGAATTATTAAAGAATATGGTAGATCTTTGTGGTAGGTTTCTCTAGAATTGGCGTAGCGGTATTACTGATTCATCAAACAGAGAACATATTCATCCCTCTCTCTTGCTCTTGCAGGCCGCTGAAGTCCATGCTTAGTGATTTATTTTTTTCCACATGCAGCTGCCTGGGAATGTTATATTGCTCCACATTCTAAATGTGTTCTCTCCAAGGAGATAGCTCTTGGGTTTATTCACTATGTTTTACTGGGATAGCGGAAGTTTAGGTTTTGTTGAGACTCCAACAAGGCCTGCGCACTTAGGAAGGCTGGCCAACTGAAGTAACGTTTCAGGTGAGGTTTGTAGTAAGAGGAAGAAAGGAGCTGGCCAGGCAGAGCAAAGACGAGAATGCAGGAGCTAGTGTGGGGAAGGAACACTTTGTTTGGAAAAGATCTCTTTCCTCTCAAAACCCTGGTATGTAAACGCCAAAGAGGAGAATCTGGTGTGGATCCTTTTAACTAAAGGCATTTTTCCTTTGGAAGTTTTTCATGGAGAAGCTTCCCTTTTATAATAGCATCTTAAGGCAAGATGAAATTGTAAGGAATATTCTAAGGTAGTCTACTTCTAAGCTAAATTATATGACTACTTGAAAATGTACCTGTAACTTAAAATTATGTGAATCTTACTGTTCTCTTATCACTTTCATTTTGATGTGTTGTTGGTAGTATTTTTCAGCTCATTACTCTTTCTGTTCCCTTTTCCCTGATTATATTTAACTTTGGACCACTCATCCATCCATTAGGATTTCTACCAGAGAAGGTAGAAGTTGCTTTCACTTTTCAAATAACTGCTTTATTAAATATTTTGATGAGAAAGGGCATGAAAATTATTGCATTACTGGATGATAGGAAGCTTTTCAAGTTTCTAACTCTCATTAATACCTCTCCTCCCCCCTTTTGTTGCCAGAGATATTTAGTATTCTGTATCTTATTGATATACTAGTGGCCCGGTGCATGAAATTCATGCACAGTGGTAGGGGATGGTGGTCCCTCAGCCAGGCCTAAACGCTCTCCAGGGGATATCTGACTGCCGGTGGGATCAGGCCTAAACCAGCAGTTGGACATCCCTCTTGTAATCTGGGACTGCTGGCTCCTAACAGCTCACCTGCCAGCCTGCTTTATCGCTCCTAACCACTCTGCCAGCCTTCTTGCCCCCAACTGCCCCCCCCCCCCATTGGCTTTCTCTCCCCCAACTTCTCCCCCTTGCTGACCTGATCACCCTCAACTTACCCCCCCACTGGCCTGATCATCCCCAACTGTCCCCCGCCAGCCTGCTTGTCCTCAACGTCCCCTCTCCCCCCCCGTTGCTGGCTTGCTTGTCCCCAACTGCCCTCCCTACCAGCCTGTTCACCCCCAAACTATCCCCCTGCTGGCCTGTTTGCCCCCACCTGCCCTTCCTTCCTGGCCTGATTGCCCTAACCATCTCTGCCTCAGCCCCGCCACTATGACTTTGTCCAGAAAGTCATCCGGAAGGTCTCCTGGTCTAATTACCATATTACCCTTTTATTAGTATAGATTACTAACAAAAGTCATTTTATTTAATATTTCTCTGAGGGTGAGAATATGCCAGAAAGAACTTTTTAACCATTTTCTTTTTTCTTCTTTTTTACTTTTTAAAATATACTTTATTGATCTTTACAGAGAAGAAGGGTGAGGGATAGACAGTTAGAAACATTGAGAGTGAAATATCAACTAGCTGTCTCCTGCACACCCCCACTTGGGATGTGCCCACAACCAAGGTACATCCCCTTGACTAGAATCGAACCTGGGACCCTTCAGTCTGCAGACTGATGCTCTATCCACTGAGCCAAACTGGTTAGGGCTGTGGGGATCGGGCTGAAACCCAGCAGTCTGACATCCCCCCAGGGATGTAGCCCTGCCAAAGCAGCAGGTGGTCAGGGAGGAGCCCCAGCCAGGGCCCAGTGCAGCTCTGTGGGCACTCATCCTGACTGTGAGCGTATTGACCACCACGGGGCAGCTCCTGCATTGGGCATCTGCTCCTTGGTGGTCAGTGTGCATCATAGTGACCAGTCAACCGATGGTTACGGTCATTCAGTTGTAACAGTAGCTTAGGCTTTTATATATAGAGAGATGTAAAGGTAAATATAGCTTTCTGGAAAACCTAAATTCCTGAAATACCTAACTTTTGAGAAAATAGCTCAGTATTTTACAAATACTTGATTTGTAGAGTAACTCAATTTTTTAGGTAGTGTTGGAAAACCATCTTTTTACTTACCCACTGATGGCAGCAGTAAATTCTTAAAAGACACATATTCTATGTTGTTTTTTAATATCATGATTAATTTCCAAATATATATTTATTTTATACCTTTCAACTGTCTGCTGTCACTTCAATTGTGTGAGTTTCTATTGTTTCTTATTGCTTTGTTGCTAGGTAAGTGATGTAGCTGGTTGCCATTTTTAGCAGCATCATGAGGTCATGTCTGTTTCCATGCCAACAGGTCCTCTTGGGAGAGTATTTTCAGTAGAAGCCCAGAGGTGGTGACTCCTTTGCAGCTCCAGTGTTGCCAGCGCCTGGTTGAACTATGTAAACACTGCCTGCTTCTGGTTTACAAATATGAAACAGAGACAAGAGGATCACTCTCAGGCATTGGTACTGACTGGGGAAATTCCAGGTACTTGCATATTTTTCATAGACTATGCGTTTTATACAAAGTGAAGCCACAGGCAGTTTGAAATTGAAAGTCTTTTTGTTTATGGCTAGGGAAAAAGCTAAAGACTGAAAATTCATACATATTGTAGTCTACAAAATACTTTAAATTTGCACAATGTTTATTTTTATAGGCCCAAACAAACCTGAAGGGGTTAGAAATAAACTACATGGGAATGAGATTATTTGGTTTACATGGTTTTGCTTTCAAAAGCTAAGTAAGAACAATGAAAAATGCTAATAAAATTACCACCCCCACCTCCCAATAGGGATATTTACCATTTAAACTTAAGCCTAACAGTTGAGAAAAATGCCTTTATGCCTTTACTACTTCCTTCATCATAAAACAAATAAGTGGGACTTCTAGGAATATATCCTAGAAAACCCAAAACTCCAATCAGAAAGAATGTATGCACCTCTATGTTCATAGCAACACAATTTATAATACATAAGATCTGTATATACATATTGTAATATATATATATATATATCTATATATATAGATATATATAGATATATATATATATATGTAAAATATAATACAATAGACCAAGTGCTATTAGTAGATGAGTGGATAAAAAAGCTGAGGTACATTTACACAATAGAATACTAGGCTGCAGTAAAAAAGAAGGACCTCTTACCCTTTGAGACATCCTGGAGGGACCTGGAAAGTACCATGCTAAGTGAAATAACTCAGAGAAAGACAAGTATCACGTAATTTCACTCATATATGGAATCTAATTAACAAAATAAAGTGATGAATTGAGTGGATTCAGAGACATGAAACCATGGCACAGAGTGCAGAATCTTGAAGGGTAGGCAGGGGAGGGTAAGTGGTGGTGGTGGGGTAATCAAACAAAGACCTTTTATGCATATATGCATAACCCATGAATGCAGACAGTGGGGAGGTGAAGACCTGGGGCAGGAGATGGGGTTGGGCTAGAGGAGGTCAATGGGGGGAAAAAGGGAACATACGTGATATTTCAACACTAAAGATTTAAAAAATAAAATTGGCAGAAAAACACAAAAAAAAACCCAACAGAAAAGCACACAAATCAGTGGGATATAAGTTTGATAGTTTCTATTTAAAACTTGAGTTTTTATAAATGTTACCGTTAAAATAGGTAGTTTTCAAACACATAAAAATAATGTTATTAAGTTGCAAAACATACAGAGTAAATAAGAAATACATTTTTGCACCACAAGACAATCATAGTTCCCATTAGATTTAAAGAAGACTATGACTTTATTTTTAGTACTAGAGCCCGGTGCATGAATTCATCCCTACAAGATGGGGCCAAACCATCCCAGATTGTGAGAGGGCACAGGCCAGGCTGAGGGATCCCACTGGTGCACGGTTGGGCACAGACGGACACAGGAGGTTGGCCAGCCAAGGAGGGACTTGGGGAGGCCTCCAGGGTATGTCTGGCCCATCTCGCTCAGTCCCAATCAGCGGGACTCCAGTATCAAGCTAACCTACCAGTTGGAGCATCTGCCCCCTTTATCGTCAGTGCACTTCATGATGACTGGTTGACTGTCTGCTCCCTGGGGGTCAATGCATATCATATAGTGAGTGGTTGAGTGCCTTAGTGCATCATTAGCATATCACGCCTTTGATTGGTTGAATGGCCGACCAGATGACTGGATACTTAGCATATTAGGCTTTTATTATATAGGATATGTAAGTTGTAGTCCTACTCAGGATAGAAAAGAGTAAACCATGACTTTGAAAAACTAAGTGATTTTTAATTGATTTTTAGAGAGAGAGGAAGGGAGAGAGAGAGAAAGAGATGTGAGAGCAACATCAATTGGCTGACTCTTACACACCCCTTACCAGGGATGAAGCCTACAACCCAGGTATGTACCTTGAGTGGGAATTGAACTGGCAATGCTTCAGTGCACAGAATGATGTCCAACTAACTGAGCCATACTGGTCAGGGCTATATTTGCCTAATTTAATCTGTAAAAATTAAGAGAGAAGAAAATAGAGTTAACATAATTAAGGTCTATGACTATGTTTTTCTTGATCACAGATTTGTAGGCTATTTCTGAATAATCTTTAAAGATTATATGGTACCCATTCTTTGGAAGAGAGTGGCCTTCATCCTTGGTCTCAGTAAAGCAATAATTGAATAGACATATCAAATGAAAGCCATTTCTCAGAGTTAGACTCATAACTAAACAAAAGGAACTGATATATAAACCCAGATGAGGCCCAGTGCACAGATTCATGCACCAGTGGGATCCCTTGGTCTAGCCTGTGCCTTCTCACAATCTGGGACCCCAGGCCAAGGGATCCCACCAGTGCACAAACCATGCACCAGACCTCTAGTATGCATATAAGATCTTTGGTTAATATCTTTCGCGCCCCCCCCCCCCCCCCGAGATTCATCAGTCTGTTCATTTTTCCATCCCTGTGTAATGAATGTCTGCTCCCTGGTGTTTAGTGTGCATCATAGCTACTGGATGAATGGTCAAACTGTTAATTAAGGTTTTATATATAATCCTATGTAATAAAAGGCTAATATGCAAATCGACTGAATGACAGAACAACAGGTTGCTATGATGTGCACTAACCACCAGAGGGCAGATGTTCAGCATAGGAGCTGCCCCCTGGTGGTCAGTGTACTCTTATAGGGGGAGCACTGCTCAGCCAGAAGCCCTGAGCTGGGCTCGTGGCTGATGAGTGCAGTGGGAGTGTTGGGAGCCTCTCCCTTCTCCATGACAGTGCTAAGGATGTCTGTCAGTTAGACATTCCCCGAGTGCAAGAGGTGCAGACTGGGCTGAGAGACTCCTACCCCCTGAGTGCAGAATTTCATGCACCAAGCCTCTAGTTTATATATAAAAGCCTAAGCGACTGGCCTACTAGCCAACCAGCCAGTAGCTATGATGCACACTGAACACCAGGGGGCAGACACTCAATGCAGGAGCTGCCAAACTGCAGTTACTTGGCAGCAGCGGTTCTTGGGTGACGCACCTGGAACCAGAGAAAAGAGAGCCTGATTCTGGGGTGCATCACTCTCTCGCAATCCGGGACCTTTTGGGGGATGTTGGAGAGCTGGTTTCGGCCTGATCTCCACAGGGCAGGCTGAAGGACCCCACCAGTGCACAAATCCATGCACCGGGCCTCTAGTATATATATATATGCTAATAAAAGGGTAATATGCTAATTAGACTGGGAGACCTTCTGGGAGACCTTCCAGACATTCTTCTGGATAAAGCCATGGTGGCAGGGCTGAAACAGAGGCAGTTAGGGGTGAGCAGGCCAGTGGGGGGGGGGGGCAGTTGGAGGTGAGCAGGCCAATGGCGAGGGCAATTAGGGGTGATCAGACCAGAAGGGGGGACATTTGGGGGCAATTAGGCAGGAAGGTGAGTGGTTAGGAGCCAGCGGTCCCAGATTGCAAAAAGTGTCCCAGATTGTAGAGGGTGCAGGTTGGGCTGAGATACAGCCCCTTCTCCCTCTCCCCCACAATGCACAAATTTTGTGCACCAGGGCACTAGTACACACACACACACACACACACACACACACACACACACACACTACTAGAGTTCTTGGGATCAATTCAGTATTTTGCCATAACTAGACTTACTTGGGAAACTTTGGGATCTTCAAACACTTTCCAACCTCAACGTCTCTGTTTCTCTATCTCATGTACTGAACATCCATATAATTTCATATCAGAATGAGGGGTTCTATGGCTAAAAACGTTTTAAAAACCCCTGAGTTAGAACTGTTGGCTTTGGTGTTAGGGCCTTGGTATTTGGACAAATCCTCCTCTTATGACAACTAGAAAAGCTGGAAAAAAATTCCAAAACATTTGCTTAAAGACGTCAGAGAGTATTAACCAGGTACTTGTGAATGAGTATGTACTTGTTAGTACTGAGTAATGCTTTTGACAGACTCTTGGGCCCAAGGAAAGAAGTAGTAGTTCAGGGCTTGCAAAGATTGTGTCCTTTGGAAATAGTCTAGATTCCTAGGAGTAATAGTGCTCCATAATTTTTCCAAAGCAAAAGCTGACAGAATTATAGGGAAGCAGACAAATCCATAACCAACCATAAAGGACAATTTTAATATAATGATTAAACAAATTTTTAAAATATATTTTTATTTCAGAGAGGAAGGGAGAAGGAGAGAGAGATAGAAACATCAATGATGAGAGTAAATCATTGATTGGCTGCCTCCTGCATGCCCCCTACTAAGGATCGAGCCTGCAACTGGACATGAGCCCTTGACTGGAATTGAACCCAGGATCCTTTAGTCTGCAGGCCAAAGCTCTATCAACTGAGCCAAACCAGGTAGGGCAATATAATAATTTTTATAAAAAACATAGAATATTTTATATGATTAACAAATTTAACAATCATATGTAAAGGTAAATCAAATAATCTCAGAATACAGTATACCAAGTGCACCAGGAACTTTTTTGAAAACCATATATACAGTGGAATAATAAAACATTTTTCAACAAATTTGAGAAAATTGAAATCATACAGAGTATTTTTTCTGATCACATGCCATTAAGCTAGAAGTAATAATCTATCAATATATAATAAAAGTCTAAGCTACTATTATGGTGGAATGACCAGAACAACCGACTGCTATGATGTGCACTGACCCTTTAGGGGGTAGGCGCTCAATGCAGGAGCTGTTCCCTGGTGGTCACTGTGCTCTCACAGGGGGAGTGCTGCTCAGCAAGAAGCCAGGCTCATAGCTGGTGAGCATAGCAGTGGTGGTAGGAGCCTTGTCCACCTCTGTGGCAGCACTAAGGAGCAGTGAGCCAAAGGGTAAAGAGCAGTGAGCAGGCAGACATCCCCCGAGGGGTCCCCAGATTGCGAGAGGGCACAGTGTACGAATTTTGTGCACCAGGCCTCTAGTAAAATATAGTCAGAAAAACTCACATTTTGAAAAGAGAAAAAATATACTTTTAAATAACCAATGAATCAAAGAAGAAATAATGACAT